AATGGCTTTTGACTTAGAAATCTTTTTTTTTTTTTTGAGACAGAGTCTCGCTTTGTTGCCCAGGCTAAAGTGAGTGCCATGGTGTCAGCCTAGCTCACAGCAACCTCAAACTCCTGGGCTCAAGCAATCCTGCTGCCCCAGCCTCACAAGTGGCTGGGACTATAGGCATGCGCCACCATGCTCGGCTAATTTTTTCTATATATATTAGTTGGCCAATTAATTTATTTCTATTTATAGTGAGATGGGGTCTCGCTCTTGCTCAGCTGTTTCGAACTCCTGACCTGAGCAATCCTCCCACCTCGCCTCCCAGGATGCTAGGATTACAGGCGTGGGCCACCGAGCCCTGGCTTGACTTAGAAATCTTTAAAAAATAAATTCTGAAAGATTATTTAAAACTCTAAAGCAGGTTACCATAAAGGAAGTTGTGGGTTGTGTTTGGCTTAAAACCTATTTGAAAAAATTTTTTTCATATGAAACTCTACTAATGTGCGGTGGGATTGGTTGGCCAGACTTTATAATTCTATGGGGTTTTGTACTGAAATGATAACCCAGTCAGTAACACAATATAAACTCTTTAGAAGCTGCAAAGGCTATTGTAGGGGAAAGGGTTGATGTGTTTCTTGTAAAAATCAATTTCTTTAGTTTTAAGGTCACAACATTTGAACTGCCTACAAATTCCTTTCCTATTTAGTGATCTACCCTTCTTTTTTTTTTTTTTTTTTTGAGACAGAGTCTCACTTTGTTGCCCAGGCTAGAGTGAGTGCCATGGCGTCAGCCTAGCTCACAGCAACCTCAATCTCCTGGGCTCAAGCGATCTCTGCCTCTAGCCTCCCGAGTAGCTGGGACTACAGGCATTCGCCACCATGCCCGGCTAATTTTCTCTATATGTATATTAGTTGGCCAATTAATTTCTTTCTATTTATGGTAGAGACGGGGGGGGGGGGTCTCGTCTTGCTCAGGCTGGTTCGAACTCCTGACCTCGAGCAATCCGCCCACCTCGGCCTCCCAGAGTGCTAGGATTACACGCGTGAGCCACCACACCCGGCCGATCTACCCTTCTTGACACTAAAGAAGTGATTCCCTTAGCGTAAACTCAGCAGGCTTTGGTAGGTTTGTTTTGGTTTAGTTTAGTTTGCTTGGCGATTCATTCAAAGACAAAGGGAGAGATGTAACCTCAACTGGCATTGTGACCTCTTTTAAATGCATAGAGTGGCTGAGGTGGCAGTCTTTACCTTAACTGTGGTCTTTTGAAGTCTGGGAGAAGATTCTACTGACAACCAGTGTCTTAGGGACCAATACAAAATAAGGCTGGACTCTATGTTTTACATATCTTCTATACTGTCTCACCTTTCTACCTGTTAATCTAATTCACAGGTGGACATCTATTTTGCATTCCTAGCTTCATCTCCCTTCTAATGTCTTCCCATATCCCTGTTCCTTTAAAAAAATTTCCCTTTCTATATTCATGCTACCATTTCTGTTGAAAAAAAGAGGACGATTCCTTCCTAAAGATTCTTGGGTATACATAGGAACCGCTTTAAGTCAGTGCTGTCCTCCTTGGACATCAAATGAAATTGTAGAAGGCATAACTGAATCATTTGGCTACTGGTCCTATCTTAAGTAAGATAAGTCATCCTATGGGCTAGGAAGGAATCACCATTTTTCAGGAAGGATAGAATCTATCACTTTCCCTACATGTTTTGTCTGCATAACAGAAGGCAGTTGTTAATTATCCTTTCTTTTCTGTCTCATCCTTTTCCTCTACTGTGTTCTGAGAAGGGTTTTGGAAGAGATAGGAAAAGCAGCTGCTTATGATATGTTTTTAGGGAAGACAGGACAATTTCCACTCCCCACCCTTACCTCCAACCCCATCTCCAAATACCTTCCCTCTCAAATTCTGCTCAGCAATGCGTAACATTTCTCCATTAGAGGTTCATGCCTTTGGCTTAAGAACTCTATCCTGTTAAAAAGACTCTTTGGTTTTAACCCCAGTAGCATATATTAAAAAAAAAAAAAAAAGACTCTTTGGAAAGTGTTGACTTCATTAAACATTGCATTATTAATCATTTACAAATAAGGGTGAGTTCATCAGATCCTTTCCTGAGAAGGAGACACAGAAAAAGGAGCATGGAGCCAAAAAGATGGGAAAATGGAGGGGGAAACCTGAAGGGGCAAAGAGACTTGACCTATTTTGTGATTTTACCTAGTATAGTTTTACTTGCCAGGGCTGGTGTCTAAAAGAATCTCCCCTTCCTCAATCCCATCTTTTACTACATGACAGTTTAATCTTTCAATAAGAGAAAAAAAGAATTTCTTATAAAATAATGTCTTATTATAAAGGAGAGAATATTTAAAGTAAAAAAAGTAAGAATCTAAAATAATAAAGACACAGATAAGCCAGTAATAAATGATGAAGAATACATTTTAATACTATGTGGATGAAAATAAAGCCAAAGTGACATACTATTATATTGAACTTTTATTTCAATATGTTTTAACAATATTAATACCTAGAAATTTTTGTTTTGTATATTTTATAAATCCCATAAAAATATAAACCTATTTCTGAGGACAGCCTTATATAAAAATAATGGTGCTATCTGGACTAAAAAGACTTGTTAATGTAATCACTATTAAGTACTTCTTCAGCTCTTCCCAACTGTTGAGGTAGTTCAGTAAAGAATACTTTACTTCTCTGTCTCTTTATGGATGCTCTCTGTGAATTTTAACCCAATAAATCACAAATAAAATAGAATACGCATTGTTGTGCTTGTTATCCCCTGTTGGTGGTATCACTCAGAAAATAACTCTCCACCTGGAGGGAAATGGACTCTAGCATAAAAATGAATAGCAAACAGAAAGGATTCAGTCAAACTCCTACATGTCACTGGAGATTTAAACTGTAGCTTAAAACTAGCCCCTGAAAGCATAAACCCCTTAAGTTTTTGGATTTGAAAAAAAATAAATTCATTCATTTTTAAATATAAAAATTTAAATTTAAGTGTATTCCAGTCACCAGAGGTCTGTTTTCTGTTGTGAGACAGGGATAGTTCATGAGATCAAACCAAGGACTAAAAAAGTATTCTTCAAGAATAACTACCACTTTTTACTCTAACTCCACTTTCTTTCTCTACAGTATAGGATATGTATTCTACCCTATTAAGAAATAAAATAATGTACACTAACTTTTGAGGAAAAAGTGTTCAACCTTTGTATTTGATAAACTATTTGAGGCTCAATATCCGTTTATAACGTTTGTTTGATTACATGTGTTTGTTTGGGGCTTGAGTTCAGGAACTAAGACTAATTGTAGAGTAGATCTGCATTTATTCACATTAGCAGGAAAGAGTAAGATTGGAGAAGAGCAGAGCAGATGAATCATGGCTTTGGAGCCAGACTCCTTGGCTTTGCTATTTACTAGTTGTGCAACCTTGGGCAAGTCACTTTCATGTTTGGTTCCGCATCTTCCCCACCTATAAAATGGAGATGGTTACAAGGAATAAAAGATGTTAGTATAGAATGTACCTAGATCAGAGTTTGGCTCATTGTAAGCACTCAATAAACATTATTCATTTTTATTGGGTAAGCCACAAAATGGATTCAAAAGTAGATAGCAGAGTTGGCTGCACATAATGAGGCCAAGGAAAATACAGCAAGGGATGCATAGAGCTCAAGCGTGCGCTTTGTGTTGAAAGTTAGCATCTAGTCACTACTCTCAAGGTGTACTCTTAGCTCTGCTTGAGAGTAAAGATTTAATCCATCAAGCAACTGGGGGCTGCTTTTCAGCTCAAAACTCTTGCTGGCCCCAGATATAAAGAACTCTCTTGGGCAGTGATTACCTTGAAGCCACATTTGGCATGTGGCATATATCAAAACAAATCCAACTCACTATAAATCATGAAGAAATTTATTCCTAAAGATGTCTTGGCAGAGGAATGGGGTGAAAGGTGTGGGGGGTGAATAAGGGTTCATATTGCTCACTGTACAACAAAAACTTAATGCAGTTCACCACTGGATCTCTATTCTTCATCTGCCAGTTGTGCCATTTCTTTTCTCCTTTCCCATACCACCTCTCTAAGAGCCACTCCATTGCCCTAGATAGTTCAGCTCTGATTCTCTGCTTATGTTCCTCAACAAAACAAGAGCCTGAGAATTGGACTGACAGTAACCATTTCTAATTAGTCCAGTGTGCCTTGGGGGCTTCCCCTGCTTCCACATGCAGTATTTTGAAGTCTTCACCCAACACAAACTGATCTGTCTTCCGGAAAATTTCTGCTTGTAAGAAAATTTTCTTCATCTATGCTTAAAGCAGATAGTGGGTACTCAACAAATAATAATTCCTATCCTAGAGCCATTTGAGGATCTGAAAACAGTTGTAGGAGAGATAATCAGGAAAGCAGAAAAAAAAGGGGAGAAGGAGAGGAAAATTACATATATTGGGATAGACTTAGCATTATACCAGTTTGGAAATTTTTCTTGCTTGGAGATTTATTTTATTTTTTATTATTTATTTATTTATTTATTGCTCAAAGATTTGAAAACCCTTAAGGGAAAGGAAAAGGAAGAAGAAAGGCCATAACGGATTTTGTAAAAATATATCATTAAATATAAAAGTATAAAAATGGGTTGTTATTTTATTCTTAAGATTATTTGACAATTAAGGAGACTGGGAATTGGAAAAAGAGCCAATAATATGAACACTATAACATTAACATTTATTTAGACTCTCTTTTGAAGCTGTCCTTGAATTGTTGATCAAGACTGGAACTTTATAGATCTTCTGGTATGCCTAAAACACTCAGTAGATTTTTCACTGTATCTGCAAATTTAAACTAAGGGCTGCCCTCCCCTATATCTTCTAATTCCTTAAAGGTTTTGATAACACAAAACATGTTGGAAGAAATTAAATGGGTGGAAGTATTTTCATGCTGGCATTTTTAAGCCTGAAAAAAAATGGAGCATTAGTTGCTTCTGTGGTTTCTAAAATGATTAAGTTTTACCTGACTTGCTTGTGATGCATTTCTAGGTAGGAAGACAGCCCATGAGCTTCCTCAACCAGCAAACCGTTTGCTCAGGTTCTGGCTCGGCCCTCACCTTCTGGACTTGGTACAGAGCCTGGGATGCGATGACGCGCAGAGAGGGCTCGGGGTCTTGCAGCAGACCTCTCAGATCTAGTGGCAGGAAAACCAGGTTGGAGGAGAAATCTCCTGAGATCTATGGAAATGAACACTGGTCTAGACACCAAAAAGCCCACATGCCCGTAGCAGCTCACATAAAGGGCCAACTTTGTCTAAATCTCTGTCTAAAAGTTTATCAGTGAATCGATTTTAGTTTTGACCTACAAAATTTACTGGTTTCTGAGTTGCCAAATATTTCACTCCTTTGTAATAATCACATTCTAAGAAGTCTACTTAAAGTCAAATTATCTGGACCTGCCAAGCCATGTCTAATGTTAATCTCTAAATTCCTGTGTTGGTCCTAGATATAACTCTTAAATCACTGTTCCCTTTTAATTTTTTAAAAACTTTTAGTTTTTGTGTTTTCTTATTGCCAAAGAAATACATGTTCATTATGTAGAAAATTTAGACAATACATGCAAGCATGAGAAGAAAATCAGTTACCCATAATCCTATTATCTAGAAATAACTACTGTTATTTTGAGTGTATATCTTTCTGATCTTTTTTTCTATGCATTTCTTTACATATGTAAGCTTTTATTTTTTTGTCCGAATGGAACCATATGACATAATAATTGCTGGTTTTATTTAATGATATCACATCATCATTTATATGAGTCATTTAAAAATTCTTCTGAAATATTTTCATGACTATTCAGATTGAGTATCCCTAATCCAAAATGCTTGAGATCAGAAGTGCTTTGGATTTTTTCAGATTTTGGAATATCTACATATATATAATCAGCTATCTTGAGTATAAGACCCAAGTTCAAACACAAAATTGATTTGTTTCACATACATCTTATGCATATAACCTGAAGGCAATTTTACACACTATTTTAAATAATTTTGTGCATGAAATAAAATTTTGACTTTGTTTTGACTTTTGACTGCAGCTGGTCACATGAGGTCAGGTACCAAATTTTCTCCTTGTGGTGTCATGTCAGTGCTCAAAGAGTTTCTGATTTTAGAGCATTTCAGATTTGGGATTTTGGATTGCGGATGCTTAACCTGTATATAATTATACAATATGGATATGCTATAATTTAACTAGTTCTCTATCCCTTCCAATCAAGAATATTTCCTATTTTCACTATTCTAAATATTAATAACACAAAAATGAACGTTTCTGGAACTATTTTTACTTATTTTCATAGGTTAAATTCCCAAAGAATCAAGGTATATTATTATATTAATGGATTTTGAAACATACTGCCAAACTTCCCTATTAAAAAGTATCAATTTATGAGCCAGGCACTGTGGCTCACACCTGTAATTCCAGTGACTTGGGAGGCTGAGCTGGGAGGATTGCTTGAGTCCAGCAGTTTGAAAGTAGTTTGGGTAACGTAGTGAGACTCTAAAAAATTTTTGTAAAACTTTAAAAATTAGCTGGAAATTGTGGTGTGCAACTGTAGTCCCAGCTACTTGGGAGGCTGAGGCAGAAGGATGGTTTGAGCCCAGGAGTTGAAGGCTGCAGTGAGCTATGATTGCGCCACTGTACTTGAATTGTTGATTCAATTCAATGCCTGGGTGACAGAGCAAGACTCTATGTCTTTAAATTAGGAAAAAAGAAATATCAATTTATGTTCATTCAAGCACAGTGTATAATGTCAGTTTTCCCTTAACACGTCAATATTGAATGTAATTTGGTAATCTTTGTGACACAAATAAATGGAAAAATATTCCATGTTCATGTGTCAGAAGATTTATATTGTTAAATGACTATACTGCCTAAAGCAATTTACAGGTTCAATGGAATTCCTATTAAAATACCAAAGTCATTTTTCACAGAATTAGAAAAAACAACACTGAAGTTCATATGGAACCAAAAAGGGTCCAAATAGCCAAAGCAATCTTAAACAAAAAGAACAACACTGGAGGCATCACATTGCCTGACTTCAAATTAGATTATAAGATAATAGTAACCAAAACAGCATGGCATTGGTATAAAAATAGACATTGGCTGGGTGTGGTGGCTCATACCTTAATCCCAGCACTTTGGGAGGCCAAGGCAGAGGATTGCTTGAGGTCAGGAATTCAAGACCAGCCGTGGCAACATAGTGAGACCCCCATCTCTAAAAAAAAAAAAAAAAAAAAAGACACATAGGCCATGCGCAGTGGCTCACGCCTGTAAACCCAACACTTTGGGAGGCCAAGGCAGAGGATTACTTGAGGCCAGGAGTTCAAGACCAGCCTAGGCAACATAGCAAGACCCTGTCTCTCCCAAAAGTATTTAAAAAATTATCAGGGCATGGTGGCATGTGCCTGTAGTCCCAGCTAAGCAGGAGGCTGAGGCAGGAAGATGGTTTGAGCCCAGAAGATCGAGGCTGCAGTGAGCTATGATCAGGCCACTGCAATCCAGCCTGGGTGACAGAGTTAGATCCTGTCTTGAAGGAAAAAAAAAAGTCATAAAAGACAAACAGATCAACAGAACAGACTAGAGAACCCAGAAATAAAGCCACACACTTATAAGCAACTGATCTTCAACAAAGTTGACAAACATACACTGGGCATACCCTTTTCAATAAATTGTGCTGGGAAAACTGGATTGCTATAAACAGAAGAATGAAACTGGATCCCCATCTCTTACCATATACAAAATCAACTCAAGATGGATTAAAGACATGAATGTAAGACTGAAAACTATAAAAATACTAGAAGAAAACCTAGGAAAAACTCTTCTGGACATTGGTCTAGACAAGGGAATAATCTACATAGCTTTTTTCTTTCTTTTTGCTTCAGATATCTGTGAGGAAGTGGGAAATTGTAGAGAAAAGTGGCATGATCTTCCTTAAATAAGCTTTAGTGCCTAGCTGTTTTACCAGTTATATGTTTGTATTTTAGAAGTAATGAATTGTTCGGGATTTTTTTTTTTTAAACAAAGTCTTGCTCTGTTGCCCAGGCTGGAGTGCAGTAGCATGATCACAGCTCACTGCAGTCTTGAACTCCTGGGGTCAAATGATCCTGCTGATTCAGCCTCCCTAGTAGCTAACATTATAGGTGCATGCCACCATGCCCAGCTGATATATATATATATATATATACACACACATACACACTTTTTTTTTTAATTTTATAGAGACACAGTCTCTAGTCTTAAACTCATGGCCTCAAGTGATTCTCCTGCCTCAGCCTCCCAAAGTGCTGGGATTACAGGCATGAGCCACTGAGTCCGGCCTGTTCAGGATTTTGATTTGGTTCTCAAAGTAATAATTTTAGATTGTGAAACTTAGCATTTCATGTCTTTTTCTAGTTGTAGGACTACTCCTTAAGTGGGAATAAATAATTCTTTGAGCACTGAATTGTATAGCAGAGCTGTACAATAATAGAACAATTTCACTCATTGACAATTCGGAAACCATTTGCATGATGGTAGCCTTATATGACTTAAAACATCTCTGTTACCAAGTCCTGCCACCTTAAAAATAACCACTTATAGAAAATAGTGCTGCAGTCATCTCTGTGGTACTTGTGAGGTATCATCATAATTTACCAAGATATTTAGGTTATTAAGTATGAAATGTCTGATTTCCTTAAGTGCTAAGTTTGACAGTTGATATCTCTGACATATCAGTTTGACACTTCTTGTCTTATTTTTATTGTAAAGGTACATCCTCAGTCTTTTTTTTTTTTTTTTTGAGACAGAGTCTCACTAGAGTGAGTGCCGTGGCGTCAGCCTAGCTCACAGCAACCTCAAACTCCTGGGCTCAAGCAATCCTCCTGCCTCAGCCTCCCGAGTAGCTGGGACTACAGGCATGCGCCACCATGCCCGGCTAATTTTTTTTTTATATATATATCAGTTAGCCAATTAATTTCTTTCTATTTATAGTAGAGACGGGGTCTCGCTCTTGCTCAGGCTGGTTTTGAACTCCTGACCTTGAGCAATCCGCCCGCCTCGGCCTCCCAAGAGCTAGGATTACAGGCGTGAGCCACAGCGCCCGGCCGATCCTCAGTCTTTTAAATACATATTTTGGCTTGTGATTATCTTTCAAGTTTTTTTCTGGAGCAATTTTTGTAAAACCATGGATAAGTCAAAAATTTGTGTTATTTTTGAATATGAGTTCTGTTGTGGAACCAATGCAGTGCAGACAGCTCAAAATATCAACAAAGTATTTGGGAAGGATGTGACTAATGAATGCATGGTATGTCAATGGTTTGAGATGTTCTGTTTTGGTGATTTTAATCTTGAAAATTAGCCATGTGGGCAACCTGAGACTAAGGTGGATAATGATGAGCTTAAAGCTATAGTGGAAGTGAATCCATCTCAACTGTGCATAAATTATGCATAATTAGCATAAATTAGCAGCAAGGTTTGATGTTACTATTCCAACAATATTGGACCATTTGGAACAAATTGTCAAGGTAAAGAAGCTGGATAGGTGGATTCTGCATTAATTAAACAAGCATCAAAAGAGAAATCATCTCAAAGCTTGCCTTTCTTTGCTGTCATGACATAAAGATGAATAATTTCTACACAGTATTGTTATGTGTGATGAAAAATGGATTCTTTTTGATAATCCCAAGTGTTTGGCACAATGGTTGGATAAAGATGAAGTGCTGAAATACAGTCCAAAACCGAATATTCATCAAAAAAAGCTAATGGTGTCTGTTTAATGATCTAGCACTGGTATTATCCACTGCAGCTTCATGAAACCTGGTCAACTGATAACAGCAGATGTCTACAGCAACCGATTGGATGAAATGATGAGGATGCTTGCAATTAAGCAGCCAAGATTGGTCAATAGAGACAGTCCAATCCTCTTGCAAGACAACACGCGACCTTATGTCACACAAGCAATGCTGCCCAAACTACAGCATCTGGACTTGGAAACTCTATGTCATGCACTGTATTCACCAGATCTTGCACCAATGGGCTACCACTCCTTCCAGGCTTTGGACCATTTCTTGCAAGGAAAAATAGTCAATTCTCGACAAGCTGTAGAAAGTACCTTTTGCAATTTCATCACCATCACTCTCCAGGCTTCTTTGCTGCTGGCATAAATGAGTTACTGTTAAGATGGCAAAACTGTGTCGATAATTTAGGTGCATATTTCGGTTAATTGTACTGCTTCTTGTTTGAGATATAATAAAGTACGTTTTTATTTAGAAATTGAACATTTCATATTTAATAACCTACTATTATTTGTAGGTACTGTCTTATTTCCTGGCAGACAAGGTTCAGGAAATATCCCTGATATATTCATTAAAGCTAGTTTCCAGACAAATAGGGTTATGTCCTTTCCTAAAAGGGGAACTGGACTGGGATGAGACTGTCATTCAGATGAAATCTCCAAGGGCTTTATTGTTGCAAAGTCAGGCACTCCAGATTTCAAGAGTCTCGGCTCTGCTACAGAGCCTGCCCACAGTCACTGACTCAGATAAATTCCAAAATATGGATGTACTCCAAATTCAAGGACTGTTACCACTTACCGTCCTCTATCCAGTCAGTACCCTTCATCCTGAGCTCACTGCGATCTGTATACTTTGATAAGAGCCCTAAATGGAAGATAAAGTCAGTGAGTCTGTGATCTGGCTTTTGCTCTAGGAAATTAATACCTAAGAGTTTTTATCATTGAAAAATCTATGCAGCTTGTAGAATTGGCCTTTTCATAATTAGGCAGATTCCAAAACTGGACTTCCAAGTGCCTGGTAGTTACCTATAGGTACCATAGCCCCTTTCTCCTAGAAATATTTTCAAGGTCATCTTCATAAAGAATGGGGATACTACAATTTAGGAAAGTAGAGGACAAAAGTGACAGTGGAAATGAAAGGATTTTCTTTGTACCTACAAACATGACTGCTGATCTCCTGATGGGAAGTTTTGCATTCTTGGAGTACATCAATGTTTGGGCTAGGATGTTAATTTTCCCCTTGCATTTTTTTCCCTAAGTGGGGAAAAAAGTAAGAGTACAAAGCAGTGAAGTAGCAACACTATTTTCATTAGCCGCACCATAGTTTCTGGGGGCAGGGACTGTATCAGATATAGAGTGTAGCAGTATTTGAAATAACTGCAGTTGCTGAATAAGTATTATATCACAATTGACAAGCTCCTGGACCAAGTTAAATCCTCTGAATACCTCTTGTTCACACCCACCCATGCCACATGTTGTGCCTATAATGCTTCCAAAGCCACCCTGGCTCCTCTGTATCTAAGCCTTTGTTCTCTAAGCTCCATCTTGAGCTCTGCTGCCCTATGAGCTCTTTCCCAACCACCTGCCTGCCTGAGCTAACCCTGCTTCGAGCATTTTGCAGGTACTCCTCTCTTGGCATGTATTATTTTCCACATTGAGTTTTTATTTAATTTTCCATGGAGGTTTTATCTCCCTTACTAGTTTGCAAGCTCCCCTCAGGAAGTTTTAATCCTTTGGTTCTCCATGGCTTATTGCACACTGGATTTGTTGTGCCTATTGGGTGAATGAATGCACCTCTCAGTGGATCTCACATACGGACAGGCACCTCAGGAATAGGAGAGGGGGAAACAGGAATTTGTTCTTATAGAACTTATTTAGTTAACATGGACACCTTGTAGTTTTATCCACTGATAGCACTAAATTTCCTGCTGTAAATACATTCATCACTGCATCAGCTATAGGTCTGGCTGCAGGTCAGAGAGATACCCCCTACTAGAAAGCCTAACATGAGGGAACTGCAAGTCTGATCACAGGAACCTGCTCTGGGTCCTAAACAGGCAATATGTATGGAAGATACCTAGAACAGTCAGTCTTAGGGTCTTCATAGTAGAAGCCAAGTGGTTTTAGGGCCAATTTCTAGAAAATCATGGATGGGCATTCTGAGGTTATTGTGGCTCATGCTTGCCCGAGATCAGCCACAGTAGCCTTTGTCGAGTTTGTGAGGAGAAAGGATGCGGTCTAGGTCTTGGTAAAGCCAGTGGCATGCTGCCATCATGTTGCATGGCCACACTGCATGACAGCTCTTTGCTTGGGACTCCCTGAACATGCTCTGATAGAATAAATCGATCCACTATATTTGAGGAAAGGATTAGAGATAGTTGTATAGGTAACACATAACTCCATTTCAATTCAGTCTAATAATTATTTTTTGAGCATATACTATCAGCCTGACCTTATAGGCTATCACCATATACTATCACCTCTGACCCAGGTTAGTAGGGCTCCCAAGAACTCACCAGTCTTTTTTGTGAGTAAGCATGATAATGGAAAGTAAGTTTGTATAGCTTTTGATTTAAAGTGAAAAAAAAAAAAAAAGAAAGAAAGAAAGAAAGTCTGTGACTCAAGTGGGAGGCAGCCATAGAAAAATAGGTCCACAATACAAAACAGTTCCTAGATATCAAATCTGATGTTGATAGGGATGGGACATGTTTCCTGTATGCCACGTTCTTTCACTAAAAACTATGTCAGAAAAAAATAAATATGTCAGCATGTTAAAGAGCTAACAAAACCATTATTGCACACATACAAAGAATTTGCAGACTGTTCTAGCTTCAGTAGGTTTGATGTACCAGGGCTCTTTGCAGTATACTCCCTGGGGCAGCCTCCACTTCAGGAACTGGGCACATACAGTTAGGACTCGCCTGCTCTCCTGTGAAAAAGATGATCATAAATCAGCATTTTCAAACCTTTTCTAGCTGACATAATGTTTCTTCAATACTAAAGTTTCTTCAATACTGATACTAAAGTCCAATATGGAAAGCTGATAAGCTCAGAATTACCCTGGTTGAAGTGAGTGGAGGGGTGGCAAGGAACCAGAATCCTGCCCTTCTCCTCCCACTTCCCCAGACAGTCCCTAGAGTGGATGCATAAAACCTCCACCATTCTGGGGAGGATGTAGAAATCATTGGTCCTGGGCAAAAGTGTCAGATGGAATCCCCAGATCACAGATTTGGGCAGGGATTCCCACTACCCTGTGCTCTGGAGATAAAGCTTTCGCCCCTGCTTGCTGCTCCCATGTCAATTTTCTGTCACTATACACAGGAAAGTATAGCTCCTGACTTCTTGCCCTTGTGGCATCTCTGGGTTGGAAGCAACTAAAGAGAGTATTGATCCCTTCCTGATCCAGATACTTAAGCAAGATTTAGCCAAGTGGGCCTTCTCTCTAGTTCAGGGCTCTCAGAATGCCTCCCACGCACCACATAACACTTCTGATGAGTCTCCAAGCTAGTACTTCATCTCAGGTTCACTAAATATTTGGACCATACAAATTCCTTTGGGGACTGATAAAAATAAAAATTAGTTCAGCTGCTTGGTTTAGTAATCTATAAATATCTAGTAAAGTTAAAATACCCAGATATTCTACTTCTGGGTTTATGCCCTCAAGAAACTCTCATATATGTACACAGGAAATATATATAAGAATGCTCATTGCAGCATTGTGATCATGAAAAATGGAAAACTATCTAAATGTCCAGGAATAGGATAACGGGATAAGTTGTAGATTATTCATACAATAGAATTTTACATAGCAGTGAAAATAAATAAACTAGAGTTATACAACATAGATAAATCTCATAAATATAATGTTAAACAAATAAAAAAGCAAGATACTGAACAATCTGTAGAATGATACAACATATAAAGTTTTAAAACATGAAAAAATATTACCAGAGGAATGATGAAAATAAGATTCAGGATGATAGTTCTTGGCGAAATTTAACTGGAGATGGGTATATGATTTATTCCTGTTTTATTACTTAGAGTGGGTGGTGGATATACGGGTGTGTGTTATGTTCTCCGTGCCAGTGGCTCCTAACTCATCGTACATCAGACACCCTCCTCTCTGCTTAGACTACTTTCTGAGGAGCCCGGAAGGAGGCTAGAGGTTGTTTAAGGCTTGAAGGAAAATAAGCCCAGAGCCATGGCTGCTCTAGGCCTTTCCTGACGGCTGAGGGCTGGCCAGTAAGAGTGGGGTGTCAATACCTCTGTATATCTGTAACCCCTGCAAAGTATACTTCCCCATCACTTAATTGAGAAGCTCTGCTCTTTACTTTATGGGAGTCTAAAATACTTCATATTTATAGCTATAGAGCCATAAAACTTTCCTCATAACAAGGTGCCAGGGCCCACCTTAATCTTAAGTCCTGTTTCTACCTGAAACCTTGAACTTTCATTTCTGTATATGGGGGGATAGGGAGGTGAGAGCTCTGGCATTTTCCCAGAATCCTTGAGGTCTAGACCTTCCTGGGTTGCTGCAACTGGTGGTCAAGGTTAGCACCTTGGAATGGACAGATTTCTGAAGTGAGGAACATTACTAACAATGACAACATTCCAACCTCCCACCCACCACCTAGTTAAGATTTAGATGGCTTAAATGGAAAACCCCAACTCTTATGGCAAAAAACCTTGGAAGATCAAGGAGAGGTAAAGTCCTCTCCAGATTGTCAGAGAAGCTACTATGTCTGACTTAGCCCCAACACAAATCTCAAGGCCATGAGGCAGTTCTTGAAGTGAAATAGAAATATAATAGAATATTATCATTGTCATCAACAAAAGAGCTTGTTGATTGGGTGCTGTATGTAGGGCTCTCTGCCAGGCTGAATATCAGGAAAGGGGCTACAAAGAAGGATAATACACCACTCTTATCCACAAAGGACTATAATTTGTGATATAGAAATAAGAAGTAAGATTTTCTACACAATTTACTTAGGCAAAATCATTGAAAGGTAGCTCTGGGCCAGAGTGAATGGGGAATAAAGACAGTACTACAAAGTCCCTGCCCACAAAGATATGAATGCTTATGTGCAGAGCTGGTTGGGGATTTGAAGTTATTCAGGACTAAAAGAAGTTAATAGTAGGCATCACCTCAGCAACTGCATCATTTTCATCCTGAGAGTACAAAAGTAGCGGGACCAAGCTGTCCAGGACTTGATTCTCTATATTCTTCTTATCTGAGTATTTCACAGACTTTATGGAAGCTCCAAAGAGAACCATGGACAAACGATGAACATCAGGTCTCACCTATAAAAGGAGTATCAAACGGAAGCAACTCATTGAACATCTCCATGCTTAGCTTATAAGAATTCTGGGTGGGCTGAAAAGCCAGTCCCAACATTAGGCTACTTAGCTGTATGTAGCTGAGGGCAAGAAATCAAATATATGTGAAGATAGTAAGACTTGCTATTTGGGCACTCTCTCACTCTATAAATGAGAAACGGGCACAGTCCCACTTGCAGTCCACAAAGCTTGCACCTGATAGTGGTATTAACCATCCACACAGGCTATTTTGCTGAAATTCAAAATCCCAGCCTATCCCAGCTTTGGTATGTTTTACTCTTCCAAGGATGCTGGTCATTGTACTCCATGTATTTCTTTTTGAAAAATAAATGGGATTTTGGATAAGGACATAAGTACACTACACCATCTTTTTTTTTTTTTTTGAGACATGGACTTGCTCTGTCACAGAGGCTGCAGCATCATCACAGCTCACAGCAAACTCAAACTCCTGGGCTCAAGGGATCCTCCTGCCTCAGCCTCCCAAGTAGCTGGGACTACAGGGATGTGCCACCACACACAGCTAATTTTTTTAATTTTTTCTATTTTTTTTTTATAGAATAGGGTCTGGCTATGTTGCTCAGGCTGGTTTCAAACTCCTGGCCTCAAGTGATCCTCCTGCTTTGGCCTCCCAAAGTGCTAGGATTACAGGTGTAAGCCACCACTCCCAACCATCTTGACCCAGTTCTGATTCTTGAAAAGAAAGACAATGTTTTCTCCTTCCTCATCCCACGAAGTAGGATAGTACCTTAGCAAGTTTCTATGTCTCAGCTTTTTATCTAAAAAAACCAATAACATTAGCCCTACCAACATTGCAGGTTACCTGGAAGGGTCTTAAGACAGGAGATTTGAAAATGCTCTGAAAGTAAAAGTCCTATATAAAATAGAATATACTTACTACCATTCCAACTTCTGCTCCCTGTTATGCCAATTACCACCCTCTTCCCGAAAGTCTCTCCTTTCCCATTGTCTTACATCACCAAATAAGGAATACAGGGTCCTCATCATGGCAGCCAGGGTAGTGAAATCCATTGTCCCGACAAGCCGCAGGAGTATCTGGATGGCCAACAAAACAATCTCCTCATCGGTTTCACATAAGCTGTCTAAGATGCATGGCAACAGGCTCCTGATGTCTTCCTTCTGTGTATCCAACAGAAATGCATCACCTCCTTTCTTTTTTTTTTTTTTGAGACAGAGTCTCACTTTGTTGCCCAGGCTAGAGTGAGTGCCATGGCATCAGCCTCGCTCACAGCCTAGCTCAATCTCCTGGGCTCAAGCAATCCTCCTGCCTCAGCCTCCCGAGTAGCTGGGACTACAGGCATGTGCCACCATGCTTGCCTGAGTTTTTCTATATCTATTAGTTGGCCAATTAATTTGTTTCTATTTATAGTAGAGACGGGGTCTTGCTCTTGCTCAGGCTGGTTTCGAACTCCTGACATCGAGCAATCCTCCCGCCTCAGCCTCCTAGAGTGCTAGGATTACAGGTGTGAGCCACCGCGCCCAGCCATCACCTCCTTTCCTGACACCATGTCACCTGGTACCAAAGGGAGGGCTCCCCACCTTTACTCGGTATGTAGTGCTTACTAAATTTTTGGTAGGGCTGGCTAGTCCAGAATGGAGAAGAAGAGGTCATGACTGTCCTCTCTCAGTATTGGCAGGCCTGACATGTAGGGGAGGGCAGAGATGTCGTGAGTTGCCTCACAGGGCAGAAGTAGGATCAGGCAGGGAAGATCTAGGGATGTGGACCTGGGCTCACTGTAAGGAAGAGTTCTCCTAACGATGAAAGTGGAACAGCTATCTCAGGTTATAATGAGTTCCCAAATATGGAAGGTATCCAAACAGAGGCTCAAAGACCCCTTGGCAGGAATTCAAGCAGAAATTGACTAAGGATGCTTAGGGGTCCTTCACCTTCTGAATTGGGATTCTGCTCTTCTAAACTCATGAAAGGAAGCAGTCTCAGGGTTGTAAAATTTAAAAAATTGATGTAAAAAAGTAAGTAGAATAAAGCAATGGATATTAATTGGATAATAAACCAGAATTAATATATATTAACATTTATCATTTTTGCTTCAGATATACCCAAGGCATAAGAGGATACCTGAATGTTATCCAGGTTGTGATGATGATGAGCATACTTCTCACACAAATTTCAGGTGCTAAATATTATGAATATATGTAACTTGTAATTTTTGTTTATTTATTTTAGTTTCATTAAATTTTTAATAGTTAGTACTTGCATATTTGGTAGGTACAAATTCAAATGGTTCAAAAGGATGTGCGGCAAAAAAGACCTTCTCCCACCCACTCCTGTCCCCAGGCTACCCAATTTTCCTCCTCAGCCATATTAGTTTCTTTAGTATCTTTTTGGGGTATTTTATCTGTGACTTAAGAATCAATGCTCTGAGGGCCCCTCCTACCATCTCCTGGTGTCTGACAAGATTGTGCAGTCCCCTCAGGGCAAGTATCCTAAAAAGATTATTTCCATGATGTAGCCAGTCTTTCAAGCGGGCAATGGAGTATATGCCAGGCAGTCGTCTAGCCACCGGACTCTGGAGAAGCTGAAAGAACCCAGAAATGCGCCAAGGCAATTACCTTCAAGCCTTTTTTCATGAGGGGAGCTACCTTCCCACTAACTTAACGATCTCTATTTTCCTTTGAAATTTCTACAGTATAGCACATACACTACAGGGTGAAGCCCTATAGGTACATAAAGAATACCAAATAATGAATGTGTGGAAAGAAGAATTTCAATAGGCTTGAATATGAAAAATATTTCTATCCCACACCTGAAATGGATCCCAGCCTTCTATTCTGTTGGATATGGCCTAGGAAGGCAGGTACTGCTGCTTTATATGCTTCCCGAATCCAGCTTCTAAAGAATCAGTCTTACCTCCACAAAAAAGCCCGCAGATGTGAGTTTATGTTCATCATTGCCTCGGTTAAGAAGTGGGACTAACAAGTACATGACCTTACGTGCAAGGTAGTGATTTTTTTCCCGCAATGCACTGCAAAACAGAACATCCACAAAATGACTCTCAGAAATGCTTCTACACAGAAGGCATTTTCTTGGGGCTGGGGACCCTCTGAAGTTTTTGCCCAGCTTTGGTAACACAGAAGGGTATGGCAGGGCCAGGACCTCTGAAAAATTTGCCGGGCATTATGGATATTTGCCCACTCTATTATGAAAAAGTTATTCAACCTTAGTTACTGTGATAACTAAAAGGGAAATAAATACCCCAAACAATGCCAATTTAGAGCAGGTGGGTATATGCATGACAAGGAAGCCTTACTTGGCAAGGAGAAATACTCCCTGAAGATGGCAATCTTTTCTTTCTAGAAGAGTCCATCCTTTATTCTTTTCCATGATGTTGAATTCCTGCCAGCACAATGTTCTGAGGAGGAGAGTCTTTATAGCCTGTATGGCAAAGCTGAATCAAACAAAATGGTATGGGTGAATTTAATAGGTCTCTCCAACTTCCAAGCACACAATCACCCTGCTCTCACTGAGGAGGACTAGGCATTGACAGCTGGATGGTAATTCTCTCCTTTCTAGATTTCCTAAAAGACTTAATACTCTAATAACTTGTAAGGCTCTTTACACAAGTTCTCAGGATAAAGAAATTTAACTATTAATAGAATCCTTTTTCCCCAGGAGTTTGGAAAGAAATCTATGATAAAACAAATGATCTGGAATGCTAACCAGACACTCACTGTTATTTTTGTAAAGCTTTATTAAGATACCATTTATACACTATAAAAAATCTATCTCCACTGCTTTTAATTTTTTTGTTGTTGTTGTTGTTATAGATAAAGGATCTTACTATGTTGCCCAGGCTGGTGTCAAACTCCTGGCCTCAAGCATTCCTCCCATATCAGACTCCCAAAGTGTTAGCATTACAGGCATGAGCTACCACACCCAGCCTCTCCACTGCTTTTAAAACTACGTATTGAACTGTCATCCTGGACATTGCATCAGAGAAAAGAAAGATTTCTTAGAGATTACCTTGCCTGACTCCCTCATTTACAGATAAGAAAACTGAGGCACAGAACAATAGATTTGCCCAGGGTACACAGCTTAGTTGAAAGGACAAATAAGAATTAGAACTAAACTCAGGTCTACTGACTCTTAGTCTGGTGTTCTTACATATGCCACATTATAGTACTATAGTACTTTCTCTGAAAGAAATCCACGTACTACAGCAATACTAAGAAACTTCTACTGAGACCCTAACGGGATTTAAAAATATCTCTCCATGCAACAAAGCAGAAACGAGGAATCATTCCACAGTGGATAAGTATAGTTTTGGAGGTAGGTGTAGGCTATTTTGCTTGTTTCTGTCTTGACTTGATTTATTAGGAAAGAGTTGGCATGATATCACACATTATTTTGCAGGGCATCTGGACCCAGCTGGACAAATTCACCTTGGTATCAATAAAACCAAAGACAACCAATGAAAAGCCCAGAATGGTTCCTGTTCATACTGATGCAATCACAATGGGTATACCTCAAAGGGGTGGCCTCTGAAGACATTTCCTGTTCTGGGTACAGACCACTTGGGATGGCAATGTCAGACATGGTAAGGCCGATGCTATGGTGAATCTGGATGAGCAGTGTCATGAGAAGCTGAGGGAAGAGTCGGAACGTAGCTGCTTGGAGACGGTTTCCCACAAACACCTCATAGAGGGCATCTGTTGCCTGTGACAGAAAAGAGAGAGCAGAACTGAGCACTAACCTGAATCCCACTTTGGCTTCACTGCTGTTTGGGCCAGAATGTGTTTTCTGGCTCTACTGCCCCACAGGCAGATCAGCAGTGGTAGTCAGTACAGGGAAATGAAAGCCAAAAGGAAAAGTAATAGGAGTGCAGTGGTCATTAAAAGTTATCAAAGAGCAAGGGGAGACTTGAAATCCAGAAGATATAAAGGAAACTATTAATATGAACATATCTGACTACATACAAATATAAAACCAAGGCAAAATTTATCATAGTTAGATGACAAATAACAACCCAGAGAAGTATTTGCATCAATGTGTTGTTCTTAATAGATACAATGCTTTCTTAGGTATTAGCAAGAAAAAATGTAAAAGGCTTGCTACTCAAAGTGTGGGTCAGATACTAGTAGCACTGGCATCACCTGTGAGCTGGTTAGAAATGAAGAGTCTCAAGCCTCACCCTAGATCTTCTGTATCAGAATCTACCTTTTATTTTATTTGATTTATTTATTCATGTGTTCATTTTTTAGAGACAGAGTCTCACTCTGTCTCCCAGGCTGGAGTGCAGTGGCATCATCATAGCTCACTACAACCTAAAACTCCTGGGCTCAAGCGATCCTCCCATCTCAACCTCCCGAGTAGCTGGGACTACAGGCGTGTGCCACCACACCTGGCTAATAAAATGCTTCATTGATTTAAAATGAGTACAGGTATTATCAGAGATTTTACTAAGATCTCCAGCTGATCATGGTTTGTGTGCATATTAAATTTGAGAAGGACAGGTATATAGGAGATGAGCAGGTAAGTCACAAAAGAAGAAATATAATTGGCCAATTAAAAACACATACAGGCCAGGCGTAGTGGCTCATGCCTGTAATCCTAGCACTCTGGGAGGCCAAGGCGGGAGGATTGCTTGAGGTCAGGAGTTCGAAACCAGCCTGAGCAAGAGTGAGACCTCGTCTCTACTATAAATAGAAACAAATTAATTGGCCAACTAATAGATAAAAAAAAAAAAAAAAACTAGCCGGGCATGGTGGCACATGCCTGTAGTCCCAGCTACTCGGGAGGCTGAGGCAGAAGGATCACTTGAGCCCAGGAGTTTGAGGTTGCTGTGAGCTAGGCTGATGCCATGGCACTCACTCTAGCCTGGGCAACAAAGTGAGACTCTGTCTCAAAAAAAAAAGGTAATTACAAATAAACTACTATGCAGGTGGGGCATGGTGGCTCAGGCCTGTAGTCCTAGCACTTTGGGAGGTTGAGGCAGGAGGATCACTTGAGGCCAGGAATTTGAGACCAGCCTGGGCAATAGTGAGACCCTGTCTCTACCAATGGAAAAGAAAAATTTAGTCTCACCTACTCAGGAGGCTGAGGCAGGAGAATCCCTTGAGCCCAGGAGTTTGAGGTTGCAGTGAGCTAAGATGATACCACTGTACTCTAGCTCAGGCAAGGGTCTCAAAAACAAACAGACAAAAACCCTACTATGCAGCCATGAAAAGAATAACAGACAGCACTTATATTGATACAGAAAGTAATTCATATATTGTTAAATTTTAAAAAGAAAGCCATTAAACAGTATATGCGGTATGATCCTATCAATATATATGTAATTTTATAGGCTAACATAATTGAATATTTACCTTTATCTTCCCCAGCTCCTAAAACTGCACTAAAATGGCATTATAGGGATTTAAAAAAAGGCATAAGCCCACAAGAACAGAGAGAAAAGGAGAGGAGACAATAGCAGATTAGAGAAGTTGAAATAATTTTGGAAGCAAAAAAAAAAAAAGTATGACAATAACTTAGACCAGAGAAAGCTGAACCACAAAACTGATAGGGGAGAAAATAAAGTGAAAAGTGTATGTTGGCAGTGGGAGAGGCTGTGTGTGTGGGGCGGCAGGGGGTTTATGAGAACTCTTTGTACATCCTGCTCAATTTTGCTGTGAACATAAAACTCTAAAAAATTATTTGAAATGAAAAATATGTGAAAAAAGAATACCAAATATATATATACAAAGTTTACATATAAACACTTTCAGAATGTTCATTTTTAGAACAATGGTACAGACATCAGCTAAGAATGACTTTTACAGTTTTAAAAGGATTGTTAAAAAAAAATCCAAAGGCTACATGAAAGAGACTGTATGTGGCCTGCAAAGCCTAAAATATTTACTATCTGGTCTGTTGCAAAAATTTGCCAACTCCTGCTCAAGGGGACTTTTACTTTCTATTTTATATACTTTTTAAAAAATTATTTTTAGAGATAGGGTCTTGCTCCATCACCAGGTTAGAGTGTAGTGGCCCGATCATAGTTCATTGTAACCACAAACTCCTGGGCTCAAAAGATCCTCCCTCCTTAGCCTCTTGAGTAGCTGGGACTACAGGTGTGTGCCACCACACTCAGCTAATTAAAAAAAATTTTTTTTGTAGAGACAGGGGTCTCACTATGTTGCCCAGGCTGATCTTGAACTACTGGTCTCAAGTAATCCTCCCACCTTGGCCTACTAAAGCATTGGGATTACGGTGTGAGCCACTGTGACTAGCCTATTTTATACATTTCTGTATTATTTGAAAATTTTTTATCACAAGTTTGTATTGCTCTTTAACTATGATGATAAAATTTTTTTAAAGGATGAGGGAAAGAATGTTTAAAACATATGAAACCATACTGATTCCTGTACTCTTCCTAGCTCCCTCTGTGTCAGTCTCCTGGTAGAGATACTGTGGATTTATAAATGGATGACAGAGCACAATTTGAGAGGACCAAAAGGAAAGCTCTGCCAGTGGGGCATGTGACCCCGAGAATGGGGCACAGTAGGCAGAGCTCGAGGGCTTACAGCCACGGCCTCGTAGGGCATCTTCTCCTGGGTGGGCACATTATGGCACTTCTGCAGCTTCCTCAGGAGCCTCCACAGAATCCAGGTCGTGCTGGGCAGCTTTACCTCCAGGCTTCTCCACAACTCAGCTAGATGCCTAGAAATCCCAAAGAGTGAGAAGGTTCAGGAGATTCTGGCTTATCCCAGGCCTACCATAACCACAACCTTCCTAGAGTCTGTTTGGAATCCAATCTATCCAATCCAATCCAATCTAAAGGTTTTCCTCCCTGCTCAGTTCCTTCGGGGTATCAAAAGACTTCCTATCTGATTTTATCACTAACTCTCCAGGTTTGTCAGGTTCTCATGATCTCAGCACGCACCTCAAGGCCATTCATAAACTGGTCCTGACTAAACTTTTCAGCCCCACCACTTCCCTGCCATGCGCTCTGTGCTCGAGCCACCTGACCATCCACCTTACCCACACAAACCACGGACTTTGAAATCCCTATGCTTTTGCTTATGTCACTTTCCTAAAACAGAAGGCCCTTTCCAAAACTTTTCTCTGCCTGTCAAAATCCTTTAAGGTCTAGCTCCAGTGTCACCTCTTCTGTGAAGCCTCTGCTGCTTCATCATGTCTCTCATAGGAGTTCCCATAATACTTTTAAAATTTCTTTTCTTAGAGGCTGCCTGAACCTTACATGTGCTATTGTCAGTTCTCTGTGTGTGCATCTCTGTTCCCTCTGAAGGAAGGGATTATTTCTGGCTCTTCTCTGAATTCCTCAGGGCCTAGCACAATGCCAGGTTCACAGAAGACATTCAAAGACACATTTAGCCAATACAGTCTATGGTCCTCAAATTTTGGCTAAGGTCAATCCCTGAAATAAAGCTTTGATCCTGCTTAGAAGAGATCTCTTAAAGAAAAATCATGTAATTTCTCTTTCCATCATTGATTCAAATGTAGGGCCTGAGAGCTATATAAACATTGTGGAAGAGCATTATGGTAAGAAGATGGGGAGTTACTCATCCTTTTAATTTAGTCTCTTATTTTTGGAATCTACCTAGCATATCTTTGTATGCTACAGTCAGAGTTTTTAATCTTTTAAAAATTTTTAAAATTATTATGGGTACATAATAGTTACATGTATTTATAGGGTACATGTGATGTTTTGATATGGGCATACAATGTGCATTTTTCATTTTTTTTATTTTAGCATTTCAATGTGCATTGATGACATCAGGGTAACTAGGGTATCCATCACCTCAGGCATTTATCATTTCTTTGTATGAAGAACATTCCAATTCCACTCTTTTTTGAGACAGAGTCTCGCTTTGTTGCCCAGACTAGAGTGCTGTGGCGTCAGCCTAGTTCACAGCAACCTCAAACTCCTGGGCTCAATTGATCCTTCTGCCTCAGCCTCCTGAGTAGCTGGGACTATAGGCATGTACCACCATAACTGGCCTTTAAATAATCTATTTTATTTATTTCTTTCAATGAATAAAAGTCCTCTATTTTTTGATTTAGTAGTTGTATGTCTAAGTGCAGTTTAGAGAACATATGTACTATACCAAGATATTATGTAACAGTCATTTAAAAGAGTGGTTTTCAAACAGCTTAAAGTGGATAAATCTTTTCTTCAAATAAAATAGTTGCCCAGAATCACAATATATAAAGCAGATAAAAAGAGGTGTTCCTCTGCTTAAAGTGGGCAGGGAGTGGTAGTAGTGGGGGCTGGAGCTTTCCTCTGAAGCCTTATTGCCTCCCACATATGGCATTTCCTAGAACTCCCAGGGTGCCTTCAAATGTGAAAAACACTCATCTAAAAAACATCTTGTTCCTCTCTATTCTTCTTTATGTAGATATGTGTATTTTCATTTTTTTTTTTTTTTGAGACAGAGTCTCGCTTTGTTGCCCAGGCTAGAGTGAGTGCCGTGGCGTCAGCCTAGCTCACAGCAACCTCAAACTCCTGGCCTCAAGCAATCCTCCTGCCTCAGCCTCCCAAGTAGCTGGGACTACAGGCATGCACCACCATGCCCGGCTAATTTTTTGTATATATATTAGTTGGCCAATTAATTTCTTTCTATTTATAGTAGAGACGGGTCTCGCTCTTGTTCAGGCTGGTTTCGAATCCCTGACCTTGAGCAATCCGCCCGCCTCGGCCTCCCAGAGAGCTAGGATTACAGGCGTGAGCCACCGCGCCCGGCCTCTGTATTTTCATTTTAATGTATATATTTTTTATTTCCTTAATTTTAGCAAAATCATTCTCAAGTGAGTTGCAGACATTATGACACTTTGCCCCTACATAACTTTAGTATCTTATCTCCTAAGAATAAGAACATCCTTCTGCATAACTATAGTATCCTTTCATACCTAAGAAAATTACATTAATTTAATAAAATCTAGTATAGAATTCATATTTAAATTTTCTTCAAGTTTTTTTTATAGCTTTTGTTTTTGACCAGGATCTAATCAAGGTCACATAGCACATCTGGGTATGTCTCTCACATATCTTTTTTACCAAGGATAGTACACTCACCACCAATTTTCTTTTATGACATTAACTTTTTTGAAGAGTCCAGTCCAATTATCTTATAGAATGTTCATTATTCTGGATTAGTTTGATTGTTTCCTTATGATTATGTGTTATATTCTGATTTATATCACAGGCATTTATCTATATTTTATCTCCTCTACAAGAGAATCATTAGAGTTTTGAGGGCAACAATCTTCCACAATACTCAGAGCTATGTCACGTACCCAAATTTAATCCAGAGGCTATAAAGGGTTCTGTTACCTGTCATATGGTATTGGATGACACAGAAGGTGGCTGAGCACTATGTCTGTATACTTGGGCATGGATATAAACAAACTCACAGCATTTATGATTTGTTGGCGGATTCTAGGCTGGCTGATCACGGATAGCTGGGCACAGATAACTCCCATAATTTCTGGCACCTGAAGAAGAAAAAGAAATTCCTAAGACCATAACCCTATAGGACACTGATGGTTACTGAGGATATTTCTAAAAGGTCCTGAGGGGTGACTTTTAAACAAATGTTTATTATTAAAAAAACACTTATCAAAACTACTTAAAACGTATCTATATATGTATATGCATATAAAAGAATTTGGAAGGATTTATAATCAAAGATGTTACTAATGTGTTTTTGAGTGATATTAGATTCATTTTTTCCTTCTATATTTTTTCTAATTTTTCCTCAATGATTATGTATTGTTTGTATAATAAGGCAAACCAATAAAAGTATCGCAAAGAAACTGGACTTTTTCCCACTGTGACTCTGAGAATGGCAGAAGAGTCCTTACCCATCTTCCTCCCAGAGATGTCCACTGGGCTCAGGTAAAGGAAACAGGAGCCATTGGGCTTTTATCCCTTTCTCTGCTTGGACTACTCTTCCGACCCACAGACTCGTGGCTTCAGGTCTCTATGGAAATGTCAGCTTCCCAGAGAGAAGAACTTTATATAAAATGGCCATCATCACCACTAATTTCTAGAAACTGGTTTAAGGATGGGCAGGTGACAACATTTCATCCTGCCCAATGAAACATGAGGGTAAGTTCACTGGGGGCTTCTGGGAAAGATTTTCTTCCCTTAATAGAAACATGAAAAGGAAGGCAACATCTTTCTTCTTTCTGAATACAGTCTTATCTGCTCAGAAAATGTGAAATTGTTGCCACTACCTTATGATCATGTGAATAGACAAAGTAGAAAGATAGAAAAACCTCCGGGTCTTTATTAATACTGTTGAATCACTGAACCAATCTTGAAAAATACTCTACATTCAGACTTATTATGTGAGACAATAAATCCCTTTGGTTAAGCTTCTTGCCAACTATGTTTTTGCTGCTAAAAGCACCCAACTGATATAAGTGCTTATCTCACCATCCTCTCATATCATACCATTGTTTTTGCATCTTTTAATAGGTTAAAAATGGATTCTCATCATTTTAAAATTACTTTTTATTTTAAATTTTTTTTTGAGACAGAGTCTTGCTCTGTTGCCCTGGGTAGTGTGGAATGGCGTCACTGCAGCTCACAGCAACCTCAAACTCCTGGGCTCAAACAATCTTCCTGCCTCAACCTCCCGAGTAGCTGGGACTATAGGTGCATACCACAACACCTGGCTAATTTTTCTATTTGTAGTAGAGATGGGGTCTTGCTCTTGCTCAGGCTGGTCTTGAACTCCTGAGCTCAAGCAATCCTCCCACCTCAGGCTCCTGAAGTATTAGGATTACAGGCATGAGCCACCATGTCTGGCCTACATTGTATTTTTATCAAAGTATAATATGCACATATTTTAAAAAGTCCAGGGGTGTTTTGAGGCTCTTTCCTCCCTATTCCCCAGGTCTGCTCTCTAGAGACAACTTTCCTCCCTTTTATCTCTTGCTATATGTGCTTCCCTATTTCTAAATGATATAGTTAGATTGTTATTTCTTGATGTATCAATTTTAGATACATTTAGATAAATTGTCTTCAATTTAGACTTTCTTAGTCTGCCTCCTTCTAGGGTCACTTATGGCTTTTTTTTTATCTTGACACCTTAATCCATCTGGATGAGTATCTAAATTGAAGTTATTGTTCTCATGTGTTACTTATATCTCCCCAGAAAAACCTCTACTCTTATGGAAAATATGGACCATGCCTTAGATTTAAAAATCTCCCTCTCCACTGCATACACAGTGATTGTGTTGTTCAGTATACATTTATTAAATAGATGAATGTCTGTGACCAAATGAACTAAGGCTTTGACCCTGTCCTCATCAGTAGTTGTTCTCAGCTGAATAGCAGGAGCAAAAGAAACCTCAGCAGCTGAGGTCTTGCTGGTATTTTGAACCCAAGGAAATAAATGGCCATTGAGCTTTTACCGTCTCAAATCGGGATGCTGCATTTTTCACCAATGTTATCAGCAATTCTCCTGCTGATTCTTGGATGCGGGGATTTTTCAGGCCATCCAATGTAGTCATCATGAACTGGCAGAGCTCATTGGAATTGAGAAAAACTTCAAAGACCTGAAATGATTTAGGAAAAATGAATTTCCAAGAAATGTGAAAGATATAAAGAGCCTTGAACAAGCACTAGCTTCTAAGTTAACAATCAGAGAAGTGTATAAAGATGTACAAGCCTGTTTACTTCAATCTTGTTTACAGAGAGAAAAATTAGAAGCAACCCAAATGTCCATTGCTAAGGTCTACGCATGGCCTTTTGCTGCTCTTTTAGACAGAAGCTTTATTATGAGGTCCCCAGAAAGAGTGATACTTAAAACATTTTTTTTTGGTTTGGTTTTATTTTTTTAGAGATAGGGTCTCACTATATTGCCCAGAGCTGGTCTTGAACTCCTGGCCTCAAGCAATCCTTTTGCCTTGGCCTCCCAAAGTACTAGGATTATAGGCAGGAGCCACAGCACTCAGCCAAGAGTAACTCTTTTATGGGAGTAGGACTAAAGAAAAGTCCCTAATGCTATATAGCTGACATGGTTCCAGGCATAATGAAGACAGGGGACAACATATTAAAAGAATGTGTCATTCTGCTTCTCATTGCACATGGCAGTATATAAAATGCTTCACATGATTGTAATAGGTACAATCTACTGGGTACTTACTATGTAACAGGCATTATGTAAAGCATTTGCCTTACAATATCTCATTTAACCCTTATAACAACTTAGCCCAATTTTTAGAAATCCTCATGGTATCAGAAGAGAAAACTGATACACAGGGAGGTTAAATTATCTGATACCTTTGACCCTAAATGAGTAAAATCTGTAGGGTTTATTTTTTAGCCCTAATCCCTAAGATGCCTGGCACCTAGTTGATGTGTAAATATTTACTGAATAACTACATTAATTAAGTAATGTCTCCTTTAATCAAGCACACTGTCTTGCAGCTCCTTTTTGTGACAAGGGTTTACATTTGCAAGAGGCTGGCAATCAGAGGAAGCAGAGCTGGTCTGCAGAGAAACCCAGGGATATGGGCCTCCTTGACAGGTTGACCTAAACCACTGAACTAAGAGGGCAAAGTGTATAAGAGTCACAAACATAGTGCCTCGTTTCCAAACTATAATATGTTTACAGAGCTCATTCCCTGGGCAATCTTGTATGTTTAGTTTTAGAAGAAACTATCAGAACTCTTTCCAAAGTGATTTTTACTCTTTTATATTTCCATGAACGAATGTATGAGACTTCTGGTTGCTCCCCATACTTGCCAACATTTCAAGCTGCCTTTATAATTTTAGCCATTCTGATCACCTGGGCAATTCTGAAGGGACAACTATAGAATTGTTTAATATCGCAGAGCTCTAGGAATTCTCGACATTTTTTCAATGCTCTTCTCAAGCTTTGGTGATTTTCCTTGTCATGAGTGATATCTGAGAAAAAACAAGAAATGTTAATACTTTCTTTCTACTTGATTTTATAAGTCTGGTTGATCTCCAGTTTCAAGTGGATTCTAAGACCTCACTCTTCTTGTCTTTTTCACTTGAATAAAAATGCCTGGGGAAGAGAGTGTGTGTTAATCTAAAGGCTGATTTGTTTCCCTTTTCTTCTGGAAAAATAGATAAAAAGAACTGAAAGAAAAAGAAAAGATCTTTTTATAAAAGCAGTGTTTTTGAGCAAGTTGTGAGTACAACCAAGACATGCTACCTCACTTCCTCATTGATGAAGAATTTTGAAAAGGTCTCCCTATGAAGTTTAGATCCCCACAAAAAATTTCCCAGTTTTATACTGTTTGATAATTCTGTACCAGAACTCTTTATGTGTCTAGTTTTGCTGATTACTGAGTCTGCCAACATTCCTTGTGGTGTCTTATTTTTCTCATGTTTTATTGTGACCTCATATTTGCTGGAAATTTATCTATGAGAAATCTTTGAGCCTGTAGTTAAGGATACTCTCTCTCCAACTAGAGAATCAACTCCCTGGGGGAAGGAACTTTATCTGTCTTGTTTACTGATGCATCCCTAGGACAATAAATGCTTCATAAATATTTATTGAATCAATAATCAATCATATTCCCCTGGCTGTATATCTTGGTAGACATTGTTCATAATCAGAGCTGCCCAAAGATGGAACAATTGCTTTGGGAAGCACAGAGCTTCGTATCCATGTGACGAGGATGCCCAGGCAGAGCAATGACAGTTGTGCATAGCTTAATGATGAGGACATGTTCTGAGAAAGATGCATCATGAGGCAACTATGTCATTGTGTGAACTTCATGGAGTGTACTTACACAAACCTACTATATACTGAGGCTATATGGTACAGCCTATTGCTCCTAGGCTACAAATTTGTACAGCATTTACTGTACTAAATACTGTAGGCAACTGTAACACAATGGTAAGTATTTGTGTATCTAAACATAGAAAAGATACAGTTAAAAAAAGAAAAGGTACAGTAAAATATGGTATAAAAAATAAAAAATGGTATATCTCTATAGGGCACTTACCATGAATGGAGCTTGCAGGATTGGAAGTTGCTCTGGGTGGGTCAGTAAGTGGTGAGTGAATGTGAAGGCCTAGGACATTACTGTGCACTACCATAGACTTTATAAACACTGTACACTTAGGCTACACTAAGTTTATAAAGAAATTTTCCTTTCTTCAATAATAAATTAATCCTAGTTTACTATAACTTTCTTACTTTAGAAACTTAATTTTTAAAAATTTGGTCAGCCGTACAAAAATATTTTCTTTATATCTTTATTCTATAAGCATTTTTCTACTTAAAATTTTTTTTTAACTTTTTAAACTTTTTTGTTAAAAACTGAGACACAAACACATACAGTAGCCTGGGCCTACACAGGGTCAGATCATCAATATCACTGTCTTCCACCTCCACATCTTGTCCCTTTGGAAAGTCTTCAGGGACAATAACAAGCATGAAGCTGTCATCTCCTACGATAACAATGCCTTCTGGAATACCTCCTGAAGGACCTGCCTGAGGCTGTTTTACGGTTAAATTTTATTTATAAGTAGGAGTATGCTCAAAAATAATATGTAGGATAGCAAATACATAAACTAGCAACACAGTCGTTTAAGATCGTTATCAAGTATTATGTACTGTACATAATTACATGTGCTATGCTTTTATATAACTGGCAGCGCAGGTTTGTCTACACTAGCATCACCACAAACATGTGCGTAATGCATTGCACTACATTATGACAGCTATGATATTACTAGGTAACAGGAATTTTTCAGCTCCACTATAATCTTATTGGACACATATGCAGTCTGTTGTTGGCTGAAATGTCATTATATGGTACAGGACTATACTTGGTGGGGATGGACTAGACTGAGATTTGAACACTGGGAGGATTCTGTGTTGGGTTGGGTATTTTCTAAAGTCCCTTCTAACTGGGAAAGTCAGTGGCTCATTCCTTGACCATGTTGGCCCTCTCTCTATTTTCTACACTCCTCAAGCTCACACCTGCTGAGGGCCTTTGCTTACGCTCTCCCTCTGCCTAATATACTCTTCTTATCTCTTCACCCGGCTAATCGCTCTTTATTCTTCAGATTATCTTCAGAGAGGCCTTTTCTGAACCTTACAACTAGATCTGATTCTTACTCATGGCCCCTGTGATTTCCCTTCATAGCAGTTATCTTTGTTGATAATAACAGAGTTATTTACTGATTCTTTGATTGTCTGAATCCCCCAACAGGCTGTCTGTAATATAAGGACCACTTGTGTTCTGGTTACTGTTGCATCCTGAGTAAGTACTAAACAAACATTTGCAGGGTAAATAAATGGAAGGCCCAAGTGATGGTAAGAACTTTTCTCATTTCTGACCAAACTAATCACTCCAGTTTATCCACAGGGTCACATGTTCAGCCACTCCATGGCCGTGCAGATGGCTCCCAATGATGGGTCTGACCCAGTGTTATGATTCTAATTATTAAGTCTGTTGCTTCAACTCTCTGCCTGTGGACCATGTCTGTTTCTCTCTCCCTTTTAAAAATATTTAAATAGACATATGAGGTCAAGTGTCTTTTTTTACATGGTTGAATTGTATAATGCTGAAGTCAGGGCTTTCAGTGTACCTGTCACCAGAATAGTCTGCATTGTACCCAATAGGTAGGTTTTCATCCTTCTCTCCCCTCCCACCCTCTCCCCTTCTTAGTTTTCAATGTCTGTTACAACACTTTATGACCATATATATCCCTCATTTAGCTCTCACTTACAAGTGAGAACATATGATATTTGTTTTTCCATTCCTAAGATACTTCAGTTATGGACCATGTACCTTTCTCTTTTAAACTACTGTAAAAAGTCTTTCTAGAACATGGAGAGTGAGTGTATAAGGAGGACTGGTGCTTATGTTGTGCTAGAGAATTCACTCAGGGGCTTGCTGCCTTCAGCAGGGCCTTACACTTTAGCCTCTGGGTGATATGTAGCAGGTAGTGTGTGCCCTCTGCAGCCTCCTCAGCCACCTCTTTCACTGGGTCCCCACACAGCAGCGCCATCACAGCCACCAGGTGTCCAAGTCTTTGGAATCGCAGCGGAGGCTAATTAAGAAGGAAAAAGGAAAATGCCATCAGAATACAGGTGCATTTAGTGCTTTAGATTTGAGTTGTTGAGAAGGAATCCCACATCTACCCAAACTCAAGAAGTGCAAAGGTCACATTCAGTCCTTGGATCTCTGTAGGGCTCACATTTAACATGGGTAGATATGATATACCCAGCAGATGGTATTAAGTAGGGAAATTCTAGTCTAAGTAAACAATCTGAAAAATGAAAAAATTTTGTACATAAAGATTCTAGCACTGTTTTTAAAGATCACATTTTAGAAATAATTGCATAATAGTAAAGAGAATTATGGTACAACCACTCTATGACTGACTATAACTGTTAGAAATCAAGTATCTTAGGAATTTATAGTATTGGAAAATGTACTGTTCTGCTAAGTAAAAAGGCTGAATGCAAAGTTGAGATGTAGTATTTAATACTACTAAAAATTTTTATTTATCGATATGCTGCTTTATTATTCAAAAAATAAGGTGCCAGAACCATACCAGAAAAAGAAGTGTACCTTAAAATAAATAGTGAAGAAAATCAGACACATTAAAAAATTAAGGAGAAAAATGCATAATCATTTGCTCAAAGTAGACCAAAGAGTTAGGCTCTGAACTTTCTCATGGCTAATGTAGAGGTACACACAATGTCCTGCGTAATATAATTCATGTAGTTCATAAGATAAGAAGCAACTAGCTAAACAGAGGAAGTACAACTTTTCCTAGGATTGAGGCAGAAAGAAATTTCTTTTTTTAAAAAAAGGTTTTTCTTTGTTTTGTTTTGTTTTTTAAGAGAGGGGCTTCCTATATTGCTCAGGCTGGTCTCAAACTCTTGGTCTAGATCGATTCTCCTGAAGGCAGAAAGATATTTCTGCTGTGGCTCTTCAAACACAAGACACAGAAATATTGTGAATGGCGGGCACGCCTGTAATCCTAGCACTCTGGGAGGCCAAGACTGGTGGATTGCTCAAGGTCAGGAGTTAGAAACCAGCCTGAGCAAGAGCAAGACCCCGTCTCTACTATAAATAGAAAGAAATTAATTGGCCAACTAAAATATATAGAAAAAATTAGCCGGGTATGGTGGCACATGCCTGTAGTCCCAGCTACTCGGGAGGCTGAGGCAGGAGGATCGCTTGAGCCCAGGAGTTTGAGGTTGCTGTGAGCTAGGCTGACGCCACGGCACTCACTCTAGCCTGGGCAACAGAGTAAGACTCTGTCTCAAAAAAAAAAAAAAAAAAAGAAATATTGTGAAAAAGAGTCTCTACAACCTCTTTACAGTAAACACAGCAACACTTACACAAAACTATATAACATCTTTAATTCACCATTATAACCTTCATTCAGTCAATCAATGAACACAGTGTCAATTATGAGCCAGTCACTATGACTGGAACTGGGGATATAAACAGTAAACAAAAGAGACATATCTGGTTGTGAGGTGATAATCTAGCTGGGGAAACATGAAATAAACAAAATAAATTTGTAAAATTAATTATGTATCAAATGGTGATAAATGTCATGATGAAGGAAAATGTAGAGGAAAGGGATAGAAATTGTTATTTTAGAATGGTCAGGGACAACCTCACCTAATATTAAAATGAGGGATTGAACTACATAGATATCTGGGAGAAGAATATTCCAGGCAGAGAGAACAGCAAGTGCAAGGGACTGAGAAGAGAGAGTATTTGATGCTTCTGAGGAACAATAATTAGGTTAGGTTGGCTGGAGCAAAGTAAATGAGAGAAAAAGAAACAGGAAGTGGATGGAGGATGGGCCAGATGGTGTAGCAACCTATAAAATATTGTAAGGATTTTGGATTTTATTCTGAGTGATATGGTAAGACATTAGAGGTCTTGAGCACAGAAGGGATCTGAGTTGACTTATATTAACTCATAAATATTTAATAGAGTATCAGCCATGTGCCAGAGTCTGTGCTAGGCAGGCACTGGGGTGGGGACCTGTGTTGAACAAGGAAACATAATCACTGGTGGAATTTATATGCTATTAGAAGCAAACAGATAATATATCAGTAAAGAATAATCAAACCAGATAACCTCTGATTCTAAGAAATTCTAGGAAGGAAAGAGAGTGGTGAGAGACAGCAAGGGCAGACCTATGTGTGTTGAGCAAAGGCTTTGTTGAGGTCGAGACATCTGAACGAGCAGTAAAGAATGAGGAGGGCCTGGCTGGCTCTGTGCAGAGCTGGGCAAGGTCATTCCAAGCAAAGGACACAAGGCAAGAAGAGCCTTATGTGGGAAGGAACATAAAGGAGGCCAGTGTGGTATGTGGGAGGGTGTAGAGAGGCAGGCAGGAGGGACCTTGTATTTTAATAACACACAAGACCTTATATTTTAATAACAGTTGGAAATCACTGCATCAAACCAGTGACATGGGGGAAAAAAGGAAAAGATGAAAAAATAAAGAAAACATAAAGGGGAGCAACAAACAAACAAAATAAAAGTAAAAGAGTGACACGGGTCTTAGGAAGACAATTCTGAAACATGTAGAGAACAAATTGGAAATGGAAGTCAATACCAACACACGCATGCACAAAAAAGTACTTGGAAGGAATAAAAATGTTAACGGTGGCTATCTCTGAATACAAGTTAATTTTTAAAAAAATTTTTTGTAATGAGAATATTTATAATCATAATAGAAAAAAACCCAAACTTTATTAAGACAAAAAAATCGATTGAAGAATTATGCTCCTAGGCTGATCACTAAATACTGCTTTTTTTTTTTTTTTTTTTTTTTATTGAGACAGAGTCTTGCTCTGTTGCCCTGGCTAGAGTGCCGTGGCGTCATCATAGTTCACTGCAGTCTCAAACTCCTGGGCTCAAGTGATCCTCCTGCCTCAGCCTCTCAAGTAGCTGGGACTATAGGCACATGCCACACACCCAGACAATTTTTCTATTTTTGGTAGAGATGGAGTCTTTCTCTTGTTCAGGCTGGTCTTGAACTCCTGAGCTCAAGTGATCCTCCCAGCCTCCCAGAATGCTGGATTACAGGCATGAGTCAACATGCTGAGCCCACTAAGGGCTTCGTTAACAGTTTCTTTTTTATCTTTATATTCTTTAGGCTCCTTTGAGAATAGGAAAAAAGTCAGGGATACAGAGAATATACATTTGTCAAAACTTACTGAATTGTACATTTATATCAGATGGATTTCATTGTATATAAATTATACCTTAATAAAGTTGACATAAAAAAAGCTATGGACCTTTGTCAGAAAAATCCAGAAAACTGCACTTCACTAAATTCTACATACAACTTCTGGATGTTGTTTTTTGTTTGTTTGTTTAATTTCTTTCTTTTATATATATCTTTTTTCCTTTTTTTCTTTATAGTCACAGTAGTGTGATCACTTTTATATATTTTTTTCTTTTTTCTTTTTTTTCTTTATAGAACTTCTGGATGTTAACAGACCCCAGTGGCACCCAGGCTAAGCATTCCTATAATAGCAACTCTCTCCAGGAAAAACAATGCTAAGGAAGATCTCTAGGACCTAGAGGGAGATCATGAATACAGGAGGGAGTCATTTGAAACTCTTCTTTAATCTGCAGCAAAAATCAGAGGTTGAGGAATGTAGAAGGAGGAACAATGCATTGTTGTTATGAGAGTAATAGGGTAGTCAGTGATGGCCAGAAGTTACTTGCTTGCATTCTCTAAAGAGAAAAAAGGAAGTAGTATAGGTTGAGAGGCTGAACTTCAATAAGGAGGTAGAAAGTTTGGATATATTTTCAATGTGAAAAATAAGAAAGCTAGTAGAATGCAATTCTTTTAAACATGACTGTTAGAACTTTTGTATCAAGAACAAATTCTCTGAGGAAAATTCTGACATAAGCACCCAGCATCCTACCCTACCAACTTCGTTTCCAATTCCTAGGGCTTATGATGCAGACTGGAGATATGATGGATGGAGAATAGAAGTAGCTCCCATGGCCAGGAAACCTGCTTGGGGAAGGGGTAGGAGAGATTCACAGATGAAAAAAGGAGTAGATCCAGGAAGGAGAATCTTGGTTTTGAGGAATTCTTTTTATTAATAGAAGTTATGGTAGAGGATTCAGAACAATTGAAAAGTGAGAGAGTAAAAGAGAAATAAGACTTTAAAAAAGAGATAACATATGGGAGAGGATTCAGAATTGAGAAGTGAGAGAGTGAAGAGAGAAATGCAAAGATTTAAAAGGAGGTGCCAGAGTACCATTCTTTTTGAAATGCCGGGAGCTGTTTAAATTGATTTATATAAATTTTCTTGCTGGATTCTATTTCTTCAAACACAACATTGTACAGAGACCAGGCCACTGTGGGCCCTCAGACATTTTCAGATTATATTTATTTATTCATGCATTCATTCAAAAATATTAACTATATTATTATGTCCCAGCTGTTGTGCTAAGCAATGGGGATACAAAGATTAATCAACACAGTACCTGGCCTCGAGCTGCTCATATTTCAGGAGAGGGCAGATATGTAAATAATGCTAAGTGCTATGATATTACATGAGCACTAAGGGGACACATAACCCCATTTGAGGAGTCATGAACAAGAGGGGAAACAGGCAGTGGTAGGAGGCTTTGGATCCTTTCTCCTCTGCAACCAAAGGGCAGCTCACCTTCAAGCTGAGATGACTGGACAAGCACTTCAGAACTTGAGCCACGCTGGCTGTGGCCCGTTCCCGCTCGTGGTCTTCAACTGACTGTAACCAGGGGTCCATGTGCTGTGAGAAATAAAGGAAGGCTAAATGGTTTATCAGGAAGATTTGGGACCTTTATTGTGTTTAGAAGAAAATGCGAAGAAAGAAGTTCCATATTACTACTATGTTTGAAGATATTTTTCTAAATGATGAATCAGCTTGGGTGAGAAATGAAAGTGCCTGGACGACAAGCAAGGCATAAAGACCTGGGTGGTTGTGTGGTCTGGCTGCTACAGGAGCTTATTTTCTAGATTTATTTTTCCTTCATCCCAATTTCTTCATTAATTATTCTATTTTTCTATATGTTTTTAACCCTCTCAAATCTGTTTTGGAAAGAAATAAAGTTAATAACATACTATGAAAGACCTCTGAGGATAGAGAAATTGCAGCAACTTGAACAGTCAGGGAGGAATGAATGGAGAAGATAATATCCATGAGTAGGTGCTCATGAAGAAGGAGGCATTTCAGGTAGAAGAAATCGCTTGAATTAAGCTGCCTTCAAAGTACAACTGGATAAAGGGGAGAAACCCAGTCTACCTGGTATGTTAATGTACAAACACAAGAGGAATGAGAAATAATGTTAAGGTCAGTTATGACAAGAATAATGCTGATCTGTACTTAGGTACAAATGATGGGTAATAGCTTGAGGGTTATCTCTTGTCTGGGATATCTGTATCTTTTTTTTTTTTTCTCAAATGCATCCTGATGTGCGAAGAATATCTGCATCTTTAAAATGGGCAAAAGAGCAAGATGCTTGAACTGCAGAGAATGCACTCCAATGAATAAATCCCTAATGATGGAATGGCATATACTGGAACAGGTATCGTTATGGGCAGGTGGTCATTATTACCTTTGAGTCCCACCTGGTAGGAGGCCGCTTATTTACTAACTCATGGGGCTGAGTCTGTTCCCTCATCAATGATTAAAACCCTTCTGTGCTAGTAAGGAATAATAATTTAAGGAATAGTTATAGCAACCATTTAAACCATTTATTGAAGGCTATTTATCCAATACTCACAGTAGTTACTATCTCCATGTAAAGGTGAAGAGTGAGACTTTGAGAGAGCAAATTCCTTGCAGAATTTACAGCAGGAGGACTTATAATCAATGAATGGCAGAGTCAGAATTTGAGCCCAAGTCTCTGACTCAAAGCTGATAGCTGATACTCTTAAATAACATGTTGCCTTCTACAACCTGAGCCTTCCACATTTTCCTCTTCCACTTTCATCAGTTAACAGGAATAGTTTTCCATGATATCCTGTTTACCTTCAAAATGGCATCAAGATTTTCCAAATGTGGGTCTTTTATCACCAAACTCTGGAGCATCTCAAAGAATGCCTGGAACGTCAGCCTGTAGAGACACTGAGAAGGCACAGGATCAGTGATGCTCCCCCACACGAAGCTCTCCGAGCACTGCATGTTTTTGAGGCTCTTATCACTATCTTGAGACTTTATTCAAGGTTGCAGAACCAGCGTAAAAGTTCTCGCAGACACTTTGCAGCATCAGGTGAAGCAGAATAAATCTTCATTTCAAATGGACACCTTTGCATCACTGGGATCACAGTTAATTGACTCTTACTATTAATTCATCTGGGGAATTACTTAACGGTCATCAAGATACTTTTAAAAGTGACTTGTAACTCTTTCTGACATCTTGAAACAGAGGGGAATAAGTCCTCTTTGGCAATTGCTTTACCAGCTGAGTTTACTAGCCACTGAATTAGGGATCAGGGCCTTTGTATCTAACCCTTCTCTCAGCTTAAAAGCTTCTCCTCCAGACATACCCACACCCTCTCCCTTCCTTCAACTATCACCCCATCAGGAAGGCTTTGCCTGACCACCCATATGCCTCCCAAACACAGTACTCTTTGTTTTTTAGAGACAGGGTCTTGCTCTGTTGCCTAGGCAGGAGTGCAGTGGCATGATCATAGCTCACAGCAAGCTCAAACTCCTGGGCTCAAGCAATCCTCTCTCCTCAGCTTCTTGAGTAGCTGGGACTACAGGAGCACACCACCACATCTGGCTAATCTTTAAATTTTTTATAGAGATAGGGTCTCACTCATTATGTTGCCCAGGCTGGTCTTGACTCCTGGCCTGAAAAATCCTCTCCACCTTGGCTTCCCTAAGTGCTACGATTACAGGCGTAAGCCACTGTGCTCAGCTCACAGTACTCTTCATCCTCCTCTTTCCCTGCTTTTTTTCTTATAACGTTTATTACCAGCTGACATATTTTCTTTATCATCAGTTTGTCTCTCTGCACTAGAATGCAAGCTCCATGAGTGAGACTGAACTGCGGTGTCCCTATTGCCTATCAGAATGCTTAGCACATGGTGACCCTTAAATAAATATATGAATAACTACTCATACCTTATTTTACATTTGAAAGGAAGGAATGAAGTAATGAAGGGAAAATGAAGGGGGGAAAAGGCCATCTTTTAACTTAACTGCCTATTTTGTTCACCAGACTTGGCTTAAATGGTTTTGGCTAGGTTTTTTTTTGTTGTTGTTGTTGTTTTGAGACAGAGTCTCATTCTGTTGCCCAGGCTAGTGTTGTGGTGTCAGCCTAGCTCACAGCAACCTCAAACTCCTGGGCTCAAGTAATCCTACTGCCTCAGCCTCCCGAGTAGCTGGGACTACAGGCATGTGCCACCATGCCCAGCTAATTTTTTCTATATATTTTTAGCTGTCCTGCTAATTTCTTTCTATGTTTTTAGTAGAGACGGGGTCTCTCTCCTGCTCAGGCTGGTCTTGAACTCCTGAGCTCAAACGATCCACCTGTCTTCGCCTCCCAGAGTGCTAGGATTACAGGCATGAGCCACCATGCCCAGCTGGTTTTTGGCTAGTTTTAAAAAATCAAATGCATTCACTACAGGCCAAGATCAGCTGACCCCATGGATGGGCAGTTACTAAAGCAAATGAGTTACCTCCAAGTTGCAGGGCCCATTTGGCATGATTTCCTGAGGCTGGGTAAGATTCCTCACAGAGGGCAGAGTGATTACACTTTTGTTGATGAGGTAGAACAACTCAGCTCGATCTTCAGAGCCAAACAGCAAATGGACATCTTGGTAACTAAGAAAAGACAGTTTGGTGACAGCAAGCTGGGAAAAGGGTTTGACTTGATATTCATGAGCAGGGATCAAAGTTACAAAAAAGAGAAGGGTAAACTGGCTGGGGGGTCATTCTGATAGAAGAGATAAATGGCTTGTCAGTCTGCTTAGAGAAATCTCACAAAAGGTTAGAGAAGAGATCCCCCCAAGAAGTAAGCAAAGCAAAATCCTTCCAGGCTTTCCTTCAGTTCATCTGCAGAGGGAAAGCTGCTACAGTCTAGCATGGTAAGTCACAATTTTCCAAAGCATACTCTGTGGAATGTTAGTTTGGGCAACAGTGGGTTGAATCAAGCTAAAAACTTTTTAACTACAGGACTTCTCAGGACCTGCAATCAGTTTAATCACTGCAAAACAAATCTCCAAGACAGGTAAACAGCAGGCAGCCCTTCCAAATTTCTTAGACCTTGGAACTTGAATGTCATGAAACATATACGGGAGTAACTTGGCACTGAATATACTTTGGGCAAATCTGAACCCCAAAGAAGTTCCAATAAAGTCTTTCACATATTGATGACAGCATACATCAAATCAAAGTTTGTACTCAAAAACATGGATTTGGCTTCCCCTTATTTATCTAAATAGTTTTCAAAAGTTAAAAATACAGAACATGTCAGTTGTCTCTGGCATTGGCCCTGAATGAGGAACCAGGATGCACATGTAGGGGGCATGTGGGCATCACCTGAGATCAGTAATGGTGACAAAGACCTCCTGGCACACAGGGCTGAATAGAGAATGCGAGGCCTCCTCTTGCACCAGTACCTGCAATGAGAAGGAAAGAACTTGGGAGAGTTGAGAATGTATCCATTCATTAGGCCAGAGCTGATCAGAGATGTGGGTGGCATGTAAGAACAATAGCAGGTCCTTCAGTTGGCCCTACTCTTTGGCTCCACAGGACCGGCTGCAGGATGGTGGCAGAGTTAGGGGTTTATTCTCTCGAGCCAGAGCCCCAACCCTGGCTCTGCCTCTTACCAGCTGTTTGAGCTGACATGAGTTATTTAACTTCCTGGTACCTCCGTTTCCTTAACCATGAAACTAGGTAACAGTACTACTTACCTTCATGGGGTGGCTATGAGTACTAAATGAGCTAATTCATGATACCTACTAGCCCTCCTTAATTGTTATTATCTGTTATTCATTATTTTTATTACCAGTGATTATTTCTACTTTAGGCATTCTAACTCCGCTTTCTAGTAAACTAGTCATCTCTGCTTTCATGTCTCATATTCTTCTGAGTTACTTGTCCTGGAAAAGGAATAACTTTCCAAATTAGAAATTGGTAGAGGGAAAACTGCTTGGAAAATCTGCAGTGATACAGAGGGGAAAACAGGGACTTTGGAGTGGAAAGTCTCAGGGGTGAGCATTGGTTCTGCCACTCGATGTGTGACCCTGACCATGTCATTTAACTGCTCGAGTGCCTCATTTGCATGAGGGAATGAGACATATTTCAGGGAGTTGATGTGCGGAGCAAATGTCAATGGCTTTTGTGGAAGCCTCTTTGGGAACTGCCCCCATCCCACAGGAATGGGCACTCAGAGCCATGTGTCTGCCAAGTCATTCTGTCCCACTGTCCAGGAGTAGATACTAAGGTCAACTGGATTCTCTCAGGAATCAGGACAATGTGCTTCATTCTCAGTCTGGCTGTACTTCTAAAAGGAAATTTAAAATTTGGGAGCACTAGTTCCTATGGACAAGGTAACATATATGGCCAATTTTGGGGCGAGGCTGGGGCTGGGTGAGGTGACTTACACCTGTAATCCTAACACTCTGGGAGGCCGAGGCAGTAGGATTGCTTGAGGTGAGTTCGAGATCAGCCCGAGCAAGAGCAAGAGCAAGATCCTGTGTGTAGTGAAAATGGAAAAAAAAAAATTAGCTGGGCAATTAAAAATAGAAAAAATTATCTGGGCGTGGTTGCATGCTCTGTAGTCCCAGCTACTCAGGAGGCTAAGCCAGGAGGATTGCTTGAGCCTAGGAGTTAAGGTTGTAGTGAGCTATGATGATGCTATGGAACTTTAGCCTGATAGAAGAGATAATAGAGATAATAGGGTAATAGGGCGAGACTCTTGCCTCAAAACAAAAATAAAAACAAAGGAGAAAAGATAAAAGATGGAGAAAAAGTTCTCCCTGAGTTTGTGGAAGCTTTTTATTTTCTAGATAAATTCCCTTTCTGGGGCAGGCTGCTCTTCCTTGTTGTAGGGTTCTGGAGAACACTCAGTGATCCTTGGAACAAATCTCCTCTTTGGTGTTTCAACTTGCCTCTAGTAGATGTCTCTTACTGCCACCAAAAAGACTTCACGAGGAATTTAGGAGGCAGTTAAGGCCAGGCACGGTGGCTCCTGCCTGTAATCCTAGCACTCTGGGAGGTCGAGGCGGGCAGATCGCCCAAGGTCAGGAATTCAAAACCAGCCTGAGCAAGAGTGAGAACCCATCTCTACCATAAATAGAAAGAAATTAATTGGGCAACTAAAAAAAAAAATATATATATATATATATATATATATAAAAAATTAGCCAGGCATGGTGGCACATGCCTGTAGTCCCAGCTACTTGGGAGGCTGAGGCAGCAGGATTGCTTGAGGCCAGGAGTTTGAGGTTGCTGTGAGTTAGCCTGACGCCACAGCACTCTAGCCCAGGCAACACAATGAGACTCTGTTTCAAAAAAAAAAAAAAAGAGGCAGTTAAGTGTCAATGTGTATCACCAGGTTCCCCTTCTCACCCCTTTCTTTTTCTCTTCTCACTTTCCAACTCTTGCTCTGACTCAGATCTAGCTGGTGGCCTGCTGCTCTCCTTCACGTACTTCCTCAAGGAGCTCATTTATTTTTATGGCTTTATAGTCTGGAAGGGACAGCATAAGACTGTCTTCAGCCTTGACAGTTCTCCCAGGGCTCTCCTGGCCCACATCTAGTTATCTCAAGGACACACCTTTCTAGCCTTTGATAGTTGTCAATGGTGCCCTTTCCCAGGGCTCATTAAAGAGGTGATTTATGACTTTTTCTCTTTTGTTCAAGCCCTACATCCCAGCTACAGCCACTCCCTGCTCTGCACTGTCTGGTTTCTGGGACTGTCCTTTTCTAGAGCCATATCCCTCACATGTGGATGAAGGCAGTGTCTCTTAGCTGAACCCTCAGGCCTGCCGTTCCCTCTGACTTCAATCTACTCGACCCACTTCTGCCAGAATCTTTTTTCTTTTTTAAATGACTTGGGTATTAAAGGCTTATTATTTGTTCACAATTATGCTAGCCACTACGGGGAATTCAGAAGTGAGACTATTTTTTTGTTTGTGAAGTACTTGTATGGTAGAAAACTCTTTAGGTGACTGCCCAGATCACAACAATCACCCCTTCTCTCTGGGAATGCCTCCAACACACAGGGAGGGATGCCCAGAAGTCATACCATTACTATATGATCCTGCCCCTAGACATATGTGATTGATGCAGGGGTGGAAAACAGACCAGTCTGGGACAATCAGATTCTCTCTTGCAGTTTGGAATTTTAGAGTGACAGAGAGTGGGTTTGAACTGCTAAAGGTTTGAGTCATGTTGATGGTAGAGCAACCCCTGCCTGAGACCCCTGGAGCTGTGCTGGAACTTGCTCCTACCTCCAGGCAACCCCTGGTCTGCTATCACTATGGATTAGTTTGTATTTTTTAGAATTTTATGTAAATGGAATCACACAGCATATCATCTTTTCCCATCTGGCTTCTTTCACTCAGCATAATTATTTTGAGATTCTTCTAAGTTGTAGCATATATCAATAGTTTGTTCCTATTTATTCCTAAGCAGTATTCTATTGAATGAATATACAGTATCACAATTTCTTTATCCACTCATTTGCTGAAGAAGATTTGGGTTTCTTCTAGTGTTTGTCTCTTACATATAGAGCTGCTACGAACATTTGTGTATACATCTTTGTGTGGATGTATGCTTCATTTCACCTAGGAGTGTAATTATGGAATTGCTGGGTCATATGGAAAGTGCTCATCTAACTGCTTAAGAAACTGCTTAACTGTTTTCCTAAGTGGTTGTGCCATTTCATATTCCTACCAGCACTGTATGAGAGTTTTAGTTAATCCATATCCTCACCACTATTTGGTATTGCCTTCCTTTTTTAATTTTAGCCATTCTAATAGGTGTATAGTTGAATCTTATTGTGGTTTTAACTTGCTTTTCCCTAATCACAATGATGGAGCATCTTTTCAGGCACTTACTTATATTCTTTGGTAAAGTGTCATAACAGATTTTTTTCCCTTTTTTCTACTTTCTGTTGTTGGCTTCTTTGGCTCTTTTTATTTGGAGATTTAAGAGCCATGCACTGGTGTGGCTCACAAAAAGATTGACAAATGCCTTAAAGTTTTATTTCTCTGTAATGACCCTGGCCTTTTCCTCCTATAGGTTCCTTAGCAGCACTGCTTCTCCTCTTGGGCATCTTTCCTCTTGGTTGGAAGCCATGCCTTTTCAGCCCCGCAAGGACTTTATAGACTTGTACGATGTTGCAGGATGCAATTTCTCATGGACACTAGCTACCCTTAACTCTTCTAGGGTGAACCCTTTGCCAGCACATACTTTGGTTAATATCTGATGTTGGCATTTCACTACTGGTTGGACAGATCCAAAGGCAAAGCACGGGGCAATTCAGTGGGCTTTTGCTGTCTGAGACTTGCATTTGTGGATTTTCTGAGCTGGCTTGTTGAACCATGTGGCAACCCATTGCTGCCAATTCTAGTGGAAGTGGAAATTTTGAAACATGTCACTTTGGGTGAGTTTTATGGCTGCCTATAGGCCTTTTCCAAGGAGTATACCCAAGCAGAAAGCTGCATTCGTTCTTAAATCTGCATTGTATCATTCTGTACTTCTTTTTTTTTTTTTTTTTTTTTTTGAGACAGAGTCTCGCTTTGTTGCCCAGGCTAGAGTGAGTGCCATGGCGTCAGCCTAGCTCACAGCAACCTCAAACTCCTGGGCTCAAGCAATCCTACTGCCTCAGCCTCCCAAGTAGCTGGGACTACAGGCATGTGCCATCATGCCTGGCTAATTTTTTCTATATATATTAGTTGGCCAATTAATTTGTTTCTATTTATAGTAGAGATGGGGTCTAGCTCTTGTTCAGGCTGGTTTCGAACTCCTGACCTTGAGTAATCCGCCTGCCTCGGCCTCCCAGAGTGCTAGGATTACACGCGTGAGCCACCGTGCCTGGCCTCATTCTGTACTTCTTAATGTATTATTTGGAATGGTTCTCAATCTATTTACTTTTTGAGGTATGGTCATTTCCAGATGGATTATAAACTCTTGGAGATCAAAGATTAAAGCTTCTCGGAAATTTGTAACCTTTATCAAAGCACCATAGTATACTAGATGTAGAAGATCCTTGACAACTGCCTACCATTTAACAAAACTGTTGGCTGGTTAACCTTCAATTTAAAAAGTTAATCATCAATTTAGTTAGCCTTACAGATGCGTGGTATGAGAAAGAACTCATATTCCTGGAGTATATAAGAAATCTCAAAATCAGAATTTTAGAGCTTTAGAGAAACTGAAGGGGGCATTTCAGTGATGAAAAAACTAAAGCACGAAGAAGTTAAGTACTTGCTTAAATGCATCACCTGCTTTGTAAAGCCCTTTTGGACCCTTGGACATGGAATTGATCATGCACTCACTCCTCTGTGTCCCCAGTACACCCATTTAAACTTCCGTCAAAGTCCTTGTGACACTTGATTACACCTTCCTTGGCTGCATGAACAGGGATATGTCTTCTTTGACTTTGCAGCCCCAAATCCCAGGATAGTTACTGGAACTGTCAGACACTTAAAAAATGAATGAATGGATGAGTTGGTGGCAGAGTGTGGTTGGAGTAAGTGCAAGCAGGACAAAATACAATGCTAACACTATTACAATCATGTTTCTCAAATGCATAATGTATGTTAGTTACCATGTTACATGGCTTACATTTATTTCTTATTTAATACTGACAATAGCTCTGTGAAGCAGACATTGCTATTCTTATTTTATAGATGAGGAAACTGAGGCATTGACAAGTAATTTCTGAAAATTATACAACTAAAAAGAAGCAGAGTGCTGGGAGTTAGCTATGCTCCCAGCAAAAACAGGTCCCTGGCAGAATCGTCGCAAGAGATTTGGAAATAATAGAAATAGAAAAATAATAGAGAATAGAGAAATAACTGAGACAAGAGACAATGCATAGTTTAAAAAGATGGGTGAGTCAGGGGTCCTCCAGCATTCCCATGAGCTGTGAGGCCCTGAGTGAAGTCCCGTGTCAGTATTTATTGGTGCAGCGATTAGTTGTCAGTGGTTACAGATTTACATAATAATAGATAATTCGTTTAGGTTTTAAGTCTCCCCAAAAGTTTGTAGAGATCCCTTAATTAACTCTATTTACGTGAGCAAACAGTTACTATATTTTTCTAAGATAAACTTCTAAACCCTAAGATAAAATTATCAATTAGCAGAAAGACTAAACAGAAATATAGAGGCTATATATTTCTTTATTTAGTTTCTTGTTGATTGAGACAAGTGGTCAGGAGTGAAGCAGGAACTGTCCCTAAGGCCAATTGTCTCTAGCTACAGGTGACTGCCAGGCAGGCATTCTTTGATCAGTCCTCAACCTGTGACCCCATACTGAGCCCATGTCTTACACAAGCATCAGGCGCAGGCCTACAGGTCTGGAGACGGGCATCACCATGCAAACACTCCTGAACGGTGAGATGCCCTCCTATGGTGAGGCAGCTTTTGGTCTGTGAACTAACATGTTCACATATTCCTTCAAGGCAAAGCCCTGCAAAACTCCTGATATCTTTTATTTCTTTATCTTCCAACAGCAGAGTAGGCACTTGATTACAGAGACTGTCTCAGATCCCACTGCTTGATTAATGAGAATGCAGCATCAGCCTTGCTGAGAAATTTAAATTCTATTTCTCTCCTTTCTACTCTTCTTTTAATTGGTTTTCAAGGATGATTATATTTGAGGGGTATCCCTGAGTATTTCTCCTCATGCAGAAATACTGAAATGAGTTCAAGGGAATGTATAACACAGGTGAAGGCACTAAAACATGTTTTGGCCAAGTCACTGAATTTCTTCTGTAGTCCTAATAATTTGTGATAAGGTCATAAATACTTACATTTAGGATATGCACAATGTTTGCTATGTGGCTGTGAATGAATGATTCTGCAGTTTCATCATAAGATAAAGTTTGGCTGAGAGAAGACAAAGATCTTAGGAATGTCAGCTTTTCAAGTTCACCCTGAATTTGTAGAAAAATGATAAAAACACAGTTATACACTATTATCTGACAATTGTACAGGGCTTTTGAAAAGTTTCTTGGAATGTTTTAAACATCTGACCTCTCATTCAATCCTATATCAGTCTTTTATTATAAGGAATGAATAAATGACAGAGGATTTCAGTGAAATTCCTTGTCTACTGGCCCTGCCTTGATTGGAACCTCATTCTTCCTCACAGCTAGATACTAAGTGCTCCTTTATGGCTCTCCCCATCTTTAGCCTTTGCTTTCCTACCTACCTGCCCTGTGCAGTGCTGCCTGATTAAGCTTCTTAAAGGTGATCTCTGAAGCTGTTACTTCTAGTTCTTTTGATGTCATTAAAGATTCATTATTTTGTCTTTAAGGTTTGCTAAAATGCAAGTTCTGATGTGAAGAATAAAATCTCTTTTTGGATTAACATTCTCTTTTTCTGATTATGAAAGCAATATCTCTTTATCATAGAAACTTTGAAAAAATAATGTGTAAATTAAAAAATAAAAGAAACCAATTCCACAACCTTGGGAAAATTTCTTCCAGTCCTTTTCTCCTGCACATAGATGATGTGAACTGGTACAAGTTCTCTGGAGAGCACATAGCAATCCACTAAAAAGAAGGCCCCATTCTCTCTCATATCGAGTAGCATATTCTCTGTTCTAGTTTTGCCCCCCCCCCCAATTCATTTCCCCAGTTGTTGCCTGATTCATCTTTCTCAAATGCAAATTTGGTCAGGTAACTCCCCATCCAGAATCTTTCAACGGCACCCATAGAAGTTGAGGCCCTCCCCAACATTACCCCAGCTGATCTCTTCAAATTTGGCTCTTGCCCTGTGGCATTCTGAACTCTAGCCAAATTAACTTTTATGCTGCTCTTTCCTGCTTCTGGGCTTTGCACCTTTTGACTTCTCTATACATTTCTTCTTGCTTACTGACTAAAATCAGTATATATTTAAAGAATCTGATCATGCAGTTTCTTCTGAAGCAGGATCAGGTGCCCTTCCTAAGTGTATCTATAAACCACATGAGTAAATCACTATCAAGGCATTTGTGATGCTCTGACATCATTACCTTCTTATCTATTTTCCTGACTGACTGTGGAGTCAGGTCAAGGCAGGGAATGGACTTTTTTGTTTTAATTTACTGCAGCAATTCAAGCCCTTCATTAATTATAAAGAAATGCAAATAAAGCCTTGCTGACATGAAGTATAATGACTAGTCCAAGTCAAAAGTGAAGACCAATGTGCTGGCTTTAGGTGTTTTATTTTTTATTAGCATTCTACATAAAGAAAATGTATAGCTTGGTGAATTTTCACAAATCAAAAACACGTGTGTAACTAGCAACAGATTATGATAAGCATTCCAGAACTGTTCCTCATCCTCTCTTCCAGTGGAGGCTCAGTTTTTTTTTATATTGTAAATTGACAAATTATATTGTATATATTTATAGGATACAAAGTGATATTATGATTTTTTTAAAGTGTCATACAACAAAATTGATTTTTTTATGGAGGAGTGTATGGATCTATGCCTTGTATTACATGCATACATAAGTGGAAACACCACCACAACCAAGATATAGAACAGATCCATCACCTTCAAAACTTCTCAGGTGCTATTACTTTATGTCATACTCCCTTCCCCATCCCTAATTTCTGGGAATCACTGATCTGTTCTCTATCACTATAGTTTTGTCTTCTAGAGAATGCCACGTAACTGGAATCATATAAAATAGTATGCAACCTTTTGTGACTGGCTTCTTTAACTCAGCATAATGCATCTGAGCTTCACCTAAGTTGTTGCAGGTATCAATAGTTCATTTGTTTTATTGCTGAATAGTATTCCGCTTCATGGATGTTCCCTAGTTTGTTTACTTATTGAATAGACTTTTTTTTTTTTTGAGACAGAGTCTCACTCTGTTGCCCAGACTAAAGTACCGTGGTGTCAGCCTAGCTTACAGCAACCTCAAACTCCTCAAGCAATCCTTCTGCCTCAGCCTCCCAAATCGCTGGGACTACAGGCATGCACCACCATGCCCAGCTAATTTTTTTATATATATTTTCAGTTGTCCAGCTAATTTCTCTCTATTTTTAGTAGAGATGGAGTCTCACTCTTGCTCAGGCTGGTCTCGAAATCCTGACCTTATGCTAGGATTATGGGCGTGAGCCACCATGCTGGGCCTGAATAGACTTTTTAAATCTTACCACTCCAACTTCTTCCGAGTGCCTAGCACAATGTCTTATAAATGGTAGGTACTCATTCCTTTCTTGTTGATTGGCTGAATGGGATTTAAAAGCCATATAAAGGTGAAATCACTGGGAACACTAACCAGAGAGGAGTTACTGTGATACTTGCTTCTTGTGAAGCTTCAGGCTAAGTAAGCTACTACCCAGTAGGATGAGAAATGCTAAGATACAGAAGTAAAACAAATGGATTCACTTGTTCTTCTATTAGATTGGTAATGATTAAAAACAAAAAAAGTAATAGTGATTTTGGACAGTTGTAAGCACCTAGCATTTAATATATTTTGCTGGTGAGACTATAAATAGGCTTAACATTCTTGGGGCATAATTTAATAGTATCTATTAAAAGCCTAGAAAAGGTACATACACTTTGATTCAGCAATGGCACATCTAGGAATTTACCCTAGAGAAATCATCTGAGGGGTACACAAAAACCCACAATGAATATTTGTCCAATCTGGGAGGCTGAGGTGGGAGGATCACTCAAGGTCAGGAGTTCGAGATCCTCCTGAGCAAGAGCAAGACCCTGTGTCTACTAAAAAATAGAAAGAAATTAACTGGCCAACTAAAAATATATAGAAAAAATTAACTGGGCATGGTGGCACATGCCTGTAGTCCTAGCTACTCGGGAGGCTGAGGTAGGAGGATCACTTGAGCACTGGAGTTTGAGGTTGCTGTGAGCTAGGCTGATGCCACAGCACTCTAGCCCAGGCAACAGAGTGAGACTCTGTCTCAAAAAAAAAAAAAAAAAAAAACACAAAAAAAACCCCAAAGAATATTTGTCAAAGGACTATAATAACAAAAAACTGGAAAGAAACTAAATAGCTAATAATGGGGTATTAGGATATTCATTTCCTTATATATTCCTTATTTGTTTTACTGTTCTTAGACTAAAGATCAAAATTCTTATTCTGGTTTCCAAGGGCTGCCTTCATCTCTTCAGCCTCACCTGGTACCACCCTCCCCTTTCATCACCATGATTTAAACATACTGGTCTTAGTTCTTCAAGCATGCTGTGCTCCTTTCTGCCACAAAGTTGTTAAAGATATGCTTTCCTATTTCTGGAACACTAACTAACCCCAGTTCTAACTTCTAGTTTTTCCTATTCATTCCTCAGATCTGATGTCAAGGGTTACTTCCTTGCAGATGCCTTCCCTTACCCACAGATAAGTTCTTCTGTTACATGCTCTCATACATGCATGAATGAATGAATGATTCACCTAAACAGTGGAATACTGTACAGCTATTAGGTAGAATAATATTGGTCTATAGTTACTGACCTAGAAAAGGTTTTTTCTTCTACCATATACGATGGTTTTCCCCTATAATTACATGCATTTGTATGAAAAGATATAAAAGTCTAAAAATATATAAAGTGATATGTTAACAGTAGTTAACTCAGGAGAATCTGACTAGAGAAGATTAACTTTTAATTTTTATTACAGTTTTATTTTTATATGAATTTTAAATTTTATACATATAAATATAATTTAGAAATATATAAAATATATTCATTATGAATATAAAACAAACATGTTTTATAATCTATAATATAAAATTATTTGCATAATAAAGAAATAATATATGTTTAAAATATTTGTTAAAATGGAGGAATAAGTTAGACAACGCGTAAGGATTGCTTGTGCATACCTTTAGCTCACCATTAAAAACTGCCTGGATGGACTGGATCAGCTTCTCAATGATGGCCTGGCTGAGGGGTTCCTGGTGGGTTGGGTATCTGAAGCTACATGAGAAGGACTCTGGAGGAGGTCCAGGGATGTCAGAGATATCCAAGTCTAATATCGAAAGAAAGACACTGGGTGACGCCTCCATACTGAGTAAAGTATGGTTTAGCAGGGAGCACCACTAAACATCAGGATAGACAGGTCCTGTTCTCACCTTTACTACTTGATCTACGACTTGACCAAGTCCCTTCCCTTCTCTGAATCTCAGTTTTCTCAATTACAAATTCAATGTTCTCTAAGGGCCTCCTAAACTACAAGAACTTTCGGGATTGAGCAGTAGCAGAATAGTTAAGAGCGTGGACTTTCAATCTCAGTTTGAGACTAGTTTGAATCTTAGCTCTACCAATTTATTAGTTGTATGACCTTTATCAAGTTAGTTTGCCTCCTGGAACATTAAATTTCCTCATCTGTAAATAAAACAGGGTTACTGTAAGAATTAAAGGAAGTAATACAAGCAAAGAACTGATTCCAGTATCTGGCACATAGTAAGCACTTAAATGGTTGATATTGTTCAAACTCAAAAGTCTACAACTCTGTAGTGACAAGAGCTTAAAATACAGTAGCAGCCCCTTGCTGATCCTTATCTCTTCCCACTGGAGCAGGCCGCAGTATGTGTTGGAGGTAGCTTCTTCTCCACCTGGGACAGCACAGGCTCCACTGCCCATCTGCCTAGGCTCAGAACCTGGCTCTGTCTCTTTCTAGCACTCTGACTATGTGTGACCTTAGCTTCTCTGGGCCTTATTTCTTCATCTCCAAAAATGGGGATGATAATAGAAACTACTTACCCCATTTGGCTGATACAGAGTTAACACCAAGGAAGTGTCAGCAAATATTACCCCTTTGTTCCCTGAGTGACAATGATGACAGCGGTATCATTTTTCTCTTCATTTACCTTTACATCCTATCTCCTCTATTTTCTAATATAAAATTTCTTATTCCTATTAGGCTAATAGTATTACTATTTCCTCCTTTTTTTTTTTTTTTTAAAGCAAAGGAGTTTATGTATACTATTTCCTCCTTAACACATCTATCATCTGAGGATTTCTGCCACTCTACTTTTATAATTTTTTAGTCTCCTGAATGCCTTTTTTTTTTACAAACTCCTCCTACTCTTTGCCACATTCTTGTCATCTACTAAGAGCAATACTTGAAACCATGTTCTTGCTCACCTCTGATCTTTACATAGGCTCTTTCTTCTGCCTGCATTTTTCTCCTTCCTTTCTCCCACCTTCCCTTACCTCTCCTCTCCTTGCTAACTACTACTCTTTCTTCAAGAACTCAGCTCCAGGATGCCTTTCCAGTATCCCTTCTGCCCATTTTAGTAGGTATCCTTGTGCTCATTAATAAACCTCTCTGTTTCCACTCTGGTCCCCCTCCCCATCTCACAGATTACACCTAGTTCCAATTGTGTACATTGCGTCTGTCCTGTTCACTGCTGCATCTCCAGCAGCTACATTAAATTTAGAGCACAGGAGGGCTTCACTATTTGCTGAGCGAATATATGAATGAATGAATATAGCTCCTCAAACACACTAGGTCTTTCTGTCTTGTGCACATGCTGTTTCATCTGTCTAGAATGCCTATCCCTTTACTTATATGGGTTACTCTTTCATATCCTTGAGGCCTCCTCTATGTTTAAATAGCACTGCTCATACAGGTGTTCTCTGACATCCATAAAGTAGGTTCTCATCTCCCTTATTTTTGGTCTCAGCTTCTTGTTTAATTTTTCCATAGTGCTTACTACAACTTGAAGTTACTTTAGTTACTATTTACTTTGTTGTTATTGTTTTTTTGGAGAAAGAGTCTAGCTCTGTTGCCCAGGCTGGAGTGCAGTGGTGTCATCATAGCTCACTGCAACCTCAAACTCCTAGGCTCAAGCAATACTCCTGCCTCAGCCTCCCAAGTAGCTAGGACTAAGACACGAGCCACCTCATCCAGCTAATTTTTTCTATTTCTGGTAGAGACAGGGTCTCACTGGTTCTCATGCTGGTCTCAAACACCTGGCCTCAAGCAATCTTCCCACCTTGGCCTTCCAGAATGCTAGTATTACAGTAGTGAGCCATCATGCCCGGCCTGTTTACTTTTTTGGTGTTTTTTCTTAGTATAATGTAAGTTCTGTGAGGGCAAGGACCATGTCAGCTATGTTCGCTGTTATATGCCCAGCACCTTGTATTCAATAAATGTTTGTAGAATAAATGAAAGACAGTTATTCTACAGCTCAATCCAGACCCCACCTTCTGCATGAAGTCTTCCCTCTCTATATCAACCCACACTCTCCTTTGCCTTCTCAGAATAATCTCCCAAGCACTCAAATTCTGCTGCAGAGTCTGTAAGACTGTCTGTCTCATTTTCGATACATCTAGAATAACACATCTTACCTTACCAGCTGTATTCCAAAGTCTCAAAGTCAGGTATCAAATTCATTGTCTAAGTCTAGTCAAGGGCTGGTCACCCAGCAAGTACTCAATCAATACCTCTTGGCTTGACTTGAAAAGAGATTTCCTCACCACTCTCCCTCTTTTAAAGTCCTTTCCCCTTTTCACCTGTAAATTCAGAGCTGTTTGGACCTTCTTTAATATCCTCTAAGTTGGTCAGCTGCAAGTCCACACTTCCCGAATCATTGTCAGAAGCACAAGGGATCACTACTTCTTCCTGACCAGGGCTCCTAGAAATAAAGAAGAGATTAGAGAAATTAGTTTTTCAGGACTGCTTCTCTCTCATCATTTAATTGAAAGCCTAAATATCACCTTCTCAGAGAGGCACTTAATCATTAGATTAAGCACCTCCCTCTACCTAGCCCCACATTTAATTTCTTATTTTTTTCTCATAGTATTTAACCATCACCTACAATTATCTTTTTCATTCGTGTGTGTTTGACTGTCTGCTATCAGACTGCAAGCTCCACTAGAGGAGGAAACCTTGTCTACATGGTCACAGTTTTATCTCCAGCACCTGGCATACTGTCAGCCTCAGGGGAAGTGAATGGATGGGTGAGAAACACTATGCTGCTGTTAAAAACAGATTGAGGTAGAATATCTCACCCAACCTCCCTCAATCCCCTTACCCTTTCCTACTTTTTCTTTTTTCCGTAGCACATAACACTTATTAATATATCATTCAGTTATTTATGGTGTTCATTGTTTATCAGCTATTTCTTCCTGCTAAAATATAAGATCCATGAGAACAAGGATCTTTGGCTGCTTTGTTCATGAATATATCCCAAGAGCCTAGAACAGTATCTGGTGCACCATAATGCTCAATAAATATTGGCAGAGTGGATGAGTACATTTATATTTACTGAATGTTTAGCATAATGAATGAAAAAGCAAGTTGCCAAACAGTTGACATAATATGACCCTAATTTTATTAAAAAAATAGTGGTAAGTATGTGTATGTGTGTATACACACAGAGAAACATACGTGTGCGCGCACGCACACACACACACACACACGTTGGGATACATGTAGAAAAACTTTCCAAATTCAAACCAAACATCTGTGGAGTGAAATTGTTGAGAGAAAATTTTGGTTTTTAAATTTCTATATTGCATGAATATTTTACATTGGCATTAATATTAGATGTGGAGCAAACAGAAATAATATAAATTGCAGTTGGCAGTGTACATTGGTACTACTACTTTGGAAATAATTATCTAGTAAACTTGAAGGTGTACATACACTATGACTCACTCTTCCATTCCTAGGAATATATTCCAGTGAAATTCTTACACATGTATACCAGGAATATGTATAAGAATCTTCATAGCAGTATTTATCATAGTAAATATCTGGAGACACCCAATGGCCTATCAACAATAGAACAGAAAAACTGTGCTATCCAGTAAAGTACTTAAAGGAGTGAAAAATAATGAATTCTAGCTATACACAACAAAACAGACAAATCTCACAATGTTAAGAGAAAAGAAAGTCATGAAAAAAACGCAGAAAATTCCATTTATATAAAATTAAGAAATATGTACAACTAAATAAATACTTCTTAAAACTATAAACATACAAGGTAAAACTATGAAGAAAAACAACAAAACAATATAATCTGCAGGATGGGTATTTCTCAGAGAGGAAGGAAGGAGGTGGAATGGGTAGGACCAGAAGGAGAACTTCAAAGTTATGGTTATGTTCTTTCTTTCTTTTTTTTTTAATAAAAAGAAATTTCTGAAGATGGCGGACGAGAAACACGGCCAGACAGAGTGTCTCTGCAGAAAAGACAGATTTTGGGCCGGGCATGGTGGCTCACACCTGTAATCCTAGCTCTCTGGGAGGCCAAGGTGGGCGGATTGCTCAAGGTCAGGAGTTCAAAACCAGCCTGAGCAAGAGTGAGACCCCGTCTCTACTATAAATAGAAAGAAATTAATTGGCCAACTAATATATATATATATAAAAATTAGCCGGGCATGGTGGCAAATGCCTGTAGTCCCAGCTACTTGGGAGGCTGAGGCAGCAGGATTGCTGGAGCCCAGGAGTTTGAGGTTGCTGTGAGCTAGGCTGACGCCATGGCACTCACTCTAGCCTGGACAACAAAGCGAGACTCTGTCTCAAAAAAAAACCAAAAAACAAAAAAAAGAAAAAAAAAAAAGAAAAGACAGATTCTAGCAGAAATTAGAAGAAAGAAGCAAGAAGACGAGAAAACAGCGGACAAGGGTCGGAAGGAGAGGTACCTGAGACCACGGGAGACTCCATGGGAGGAGGCTGTGGAGGAGAACTGGAAGCTGAGACCGCAGGAGCAGCCCAGAGACCAGTGGGAAGGCTTTTCCTGGAAGCAGAGAACAGAACTTTGACCCCCGCTAACTACATTGGTGGTGCCTGAGGGCAGGCTTACCCAACCCAGCTCCAGCCAGACTCTCTCCTAGACCAGCCCTCTAGAGTGCCTCTCTACAGGAACAAGAGCTGATAACAGGACACAAAAACAACAGCAGAGCCAGCTCCTACAAGCAAGCGCCACCTACTGACAGGGAGGACATCCTGCACACCATTTTCACCGCACCTACTGACTCATTATACAGGGAGTGGTCAAATCTCACCCACAGACACCACCTACCAGCTCAGAAACTAAACAAGGCGTGTGAATACCCAAATGAAAACCTAAAGGAAAGAAACAACAACTGATCTACATGGGAAGAAACCAGCGAAGGAACTCCAGAAATATGAAGAACCAAATGGAAAACACACCCCCAAAGAGGAGCACCAGCCCCCTAGAAACAGACACCAACAAAAATCAGGCAACCAAAATGACAGAAGAGGAATTTTGAATGTGGAGCATAAGAAAATTCAATGACCTGCAAGATCAACTCAATAACCAACACAAAGAAACCACAAAAAGCCTCCAGGACCTGGAACAAAATTCACTAAAGAAATCGAACAATAAAGAAAAATTTAACCGAATTACTGGAAATGAAGAATCAATTCAGGGAACTACAAAATACAGTGGAAAGTCTCAAGAACAGGGTAGATCAAACAGAAGAAAGAATCTCAGAGATTGAAGACAACACCCTCCAATTAAATAAATCAGTCACAGAGATAGAGCAGAGAAACAAGAGAAAAGAGCAAAGCCTACAAGAGATGTGGGATTACGTGAAGAAACTAACGTGAGGGTCATAGGGTACCAGAAGGGGAAGAAGACAACACTAAAGGGTTGGACAGCTATTTGAAGATATAATAGAGGAAAATTTCCCAGGCCTTGCTCAAAATCTCGATATACAAGTTCAAGAAGCTCAAGGACCCCTGGGAGATTCAATGCAAACAGGAAACATCACGACATGCAGTCATCAGACTGACCAAAATATCAACTAAAGAGGCCCTTCTAAGAGCTGTAAGACGAAAGAGGCAAGTAACATACAAGGGAAAGCCAATTCCAATAATACCAGACTTCTCTACTGAGATTTTACAAGCAAGGAGAGACTGGGGCCCCATTCTCACTCTTCTGAAACAAAACAATGCCCAGCCTAGAATCTTATTCCCTGCAAAACTAAGCTTCATATATGAAGGAGAAATAAAGACATTCTCAGACAAGCAAAGTCTCAGAGAATTCACCAAGACAAGACCAGCCCTACAAGAAGTACTCAAAACAGTGTTACGTACGGAACACCATAATAAAAACTCACGAATATAAAAACAACCAAAACCCAAAGATTGAAGGCCAGATATTACAATGGCTCAAGAGAAAAATCAAAGCAACAACATCCAACCCAACAGAATGAACAATAATCTACCTTACCTATCAGTTCTCTCAATAAATGTGAATGGCTTAAACTCTCCACTCAAGAGACATGGGCTGGCTGAATGGATAAGAAATACAGGCCATGGCCCGGCGCGGTGGCTCACCCTGTAATCTAGCACTCTGGGAGGCTGAGGTGGGTGGATTGCTCGAGGACAGGAGTTTGAAAGCGGCCTGAGCAAGAGCAAAACCCGTCTCTACAATAAACATAAAGAAATTATTGGCCAACTAATATATATAGAAAAAATTAGCTGGGCATCGTGGCACATGCCTGTAGTCCCAGCTAATTGGGAGGCTGAGGCAGAAGGATTGCTTGAGGCCAGGAGTTTGAAGTTGCTGTGAGCTAGGCTGACGCCACGGCACTCGCTCTAGCCTGGGCAACAAAGCGAGACTCTGTCTCCAAAAAAAAAAAAAAAAAAAAAATACAGGCCAAGTATGTGCTATCTACAGGAAACACATCTAACCTACAAGGATGCATATAGACTAAAAGTAAAAGGGTGGAGATTAGTATTCCAAGCAAGTGTAAACCAAAAAGAAGGCTGGCGTGCCAGTTCTAATTTCAGACAATTTAGTTTTTAAACCAACAAAAGTAGTGAAAGACAAAGAGGGTCATTATATAATGGTGAAGGGCACACTTCAACAAGAAGAGATAACAATTTAAAATATATATGCATCCAACTTAGGTGCACCCAGATTCATAAAGCAAACCTTACTGAATCTAAGCAAATTGATTAATAGCAACTCCATAATCACTGGAGATATCAACACCCCACTGATGGCACAAGACAGATCCTCCAAACAGAAAATTAATAAAGAAATAATGGACTTAAACAAAACTCTAGAACAATTGGGACTGACTGACATTTACAGGACATTCTACCCAAAATCCACTGAATATATGTTCTTCTCATCAGCTCACGGGACATTTTCTAAGATTGACCATATCCTAGGACACAAAGTAAACCTCAAGAAATTAAAAAAATAGAAATCATACCATGTATCTTCTCAGATTACAGTGGAATAAAAGTAGAATCAACCCTAACAACGAAACTCACATTTCTACACAAAAACATGAAATTAAACAACCTCCTACTAAATGATTACTTCATAAATGAAGAAATCAAGATGGAGATTAAAAAATTCTATGAACAAAATGACAATGGAGAGACAAGTTATCAAATCCTCTGGGACACAGCTAAGGCAGTTCTGAGAGGAAAGTTTATCTCTATAAATGCCTATAACCAAAAGTCAAAAAGATCACAAATAGACAATCTAACGAACGACTCAAAGAGCTGGAAAAAGAAGAACAGACAACCCCAAACCCAGCAGAAGAAGTGAAATCAACAATCAAATCAGAACTAAACGAAATTGAAAACAGGAAAGCTATGCAGGAGATTAATAAAACAAAAAGTTGGTTCTTTGAAAAAATAAAC